ATTAATAAAGATTGAAGACCAAACACTCAAGAGTCCAGACTCGTCCTTCGAAGCGCGGCCTGCCCAGAACCACCTTTCCCGTATCGGGGCAGAGACAAATAACGGCGAACCCCGATACCCAGGAGGGTGAACCCAGCAGCAGCTCCTGCTCCCAGAGGCCCTGAATGACAAGCAGTGCCTGGGCAGCTGGAAGAAACCTGCCTGAAGAAGCACTTGTCCTTCCCCACTTTCCCTGTCCAGCTGTCACCAGCAGCTCCTTCTCAGCCGGGACAGGGCAGAGTCGGGAATGTGGGGCAGATCCAAGTGAGATTCACAGATCTGTTTCCTACTGGCTTCCCATAGAGGAAAACATGGCAAAGAAACAGAGTGTGACACACAGAGCTGCTGTTCATAACCCACTTTGCCTCTCCAGTCTCTCTTTGCTCCAGCTGTTACAGACCCGCCTGGTTTTCTTTCACTTGAAATGGAGGAAGGAAATGGTGCTGCTGGCTGTGAATGCTCAGCCATGTCTTCAGCATACTGGATCTGGACAGCCCATTTTTTAGAGATGCTGCTGTCAAGGTGAGTCGTTTAGCCAGTGCCCAAAAGCTGACCAGTGCTGTTATCAGACCCCTTTGATTCCTCTTGCCTAACTTCAGGTGCCCAGAGTTTTGGTGTTCAGCTCACGTCATCAGCTCATCCCTTCACCACCCAGGAGAGATGTCTGAGGTGAGTTTGTAGCCCTCTGAACAAGCCCATCTCTCCCTCGTGCAGATGACAAGCTTCCACTAGATGATTAATTGCTTTGACTTAGCTGGCAGGAATTTCATGTTTGGGGATTTTTTTTTTTTTAACATTGCCATTTAAAACTCACTCTGAAAAATATTCAAAGCAGAAATACAATCTTTCAGGGCGCTGTGAAAAAGTTGATTTGCTTTCTTACAAAAGTATCTGTCTTTCATGTAAAGGAAGTTCTGGCCCAAGAAGCCTGTCAAAGAAATCTGAAGTGCAGTGTATTTTCTCCTGTCTCTGAACCCAAAGAAGTAAGACCAACTGCTCAGGTTCTGTTTTTGATCCAGACCACTGCTAACCTCCATAAAAGACCACAAACCTCATGCTGTCTTCTGTCAGCCAGCAGCAGAAAGACTGGAAGATACCTACAGCAGTGCTATTTCAGACTGCTAGGAAAATCTGTTGTTTTCCAAGTTAATAAATAAAAGGCAAACACCTTTCTCTCAGCAATTTCTAAAAACAGCAACACCCTTCAATTTAACAGCAGTTTTTACCTATGAATCTCAAAAAGAAGAAGTAATGAGAAGTCATGTAACTCACAAAAATTCAAGGCATATGAATTTATGGGTATTTTTTCACTGACAAACCCAAAAGCTGTCAGGTGTTCTAGTCAATAAACTCCAACAGAAGACAACTTGAAAAGAGGCAAAAGCAACTCAAATGCTTATCAGTAAAGCATCTTAGTACAGTGAGATAAGAGTACGTAAATGTGACTTTCTCAGGAACACCAAACCCACTGAGGACCCCTAATGACTACAAAGCAACTACTGCTGTGCAAGGTTTGTGGTGGGAAAGGCAGAAGGAAGCAAAGTATAACAATGAAGTGGTTGACTATGAACATAAAACATGACAGCTTGGCCAAATAAATGGTGGGTGAAAATTACCCCTCTGGGACATGGGATAGGGTGGGATACATCCCACAGGAACAGGAAGCATCCCTGAGATATGTAAGTCATTGCACAGGGCCCTGATGAAATCTCAGAATAACAACAAAGCTGTGGTCTCCCAAATGCAAAAAAAAATCCAAAACTGCATTAGCCTGGAAGAGTTGCCAGAGAAGACTGGAGGGTGCCTCAGGAATCAGAACACCTAATTTGTAGAGTGAGTCAGGAAAAGGAGTGGCTTGTTTACCCCAAAAAATGTCACCATTGCATAATTCCAGCAGGGCACACAAGAAGTGCCCATACCAGCATCTGTTTGCAGGAACAAAGATGAATCATCCCTGAATTGGCTCAGTGTTAAACAGAGTGTTTTATGAAAGTTCTGTGATGCAACATCCCCAGGTTGAATTCATCCCTCCCCTGTGCGCTCTGTGTGGGTGCCTCGCGTGGGCAGCGCGATCGAGGGAGCACAGATCTTCCAGCAGCAGCAGCAGCAGCAGCTCTATCACGTGTTTGGCTCCATCAGATCTGCTTCTTTTTGTAAGGCAACAACACCTGGAGGCTGTAGGACAGGCAGTGCGAAGGTCTCCCTGAGAACTGCATTTGCTGCTCCCTGTGTGGATCAACAACCGTTCCACAGCCCCACTGTCACACTGCTGGTGGCAGCACAGCAGGAGACCCCAAACTGCAGCTCCTCAGACTGCTCCCAGGCCTCAGCACACCCAGCCCTCTGTGCATGGTGCCACCAAATCACTTGCAGAGTCAAGGAATTTCAGGAAGAAAGGATAGCCAGTAGATGCCCCAATGCTACAAAAACTACCACCACTTTGGGGTAAACACCAGGACTCAGAAGATCAGGTTTATGCCTCTGGAAAAAAAAAAAAAAATTAAAAATTGCTGCACTAACCAAGAAAACCAGAGTTTTCTCAGAGTTTTCTGGTTTGTCCTTTCAGCTCCTTGCTGGAAGTCTCCATTCAGCTCAGTATGAGTCTCTGACAGCCCCCAGACCTGTCCTCTTTTCTGTGTCATCCCTCCCTGCCCCTTCGCTGCTGGGGCAGCAGCTGGCTGTGCCGGCTGACTTAGAGCAGCACAACAACACTGCCAGGTCCCAAACTATTGCCTGTGCAAAACCCACCCCAGCCTGGCTCTCCTGAAACTTCCCTTGATTTCCATAAAGCCTGCAGGAACCCCAAGGGTTTTAAAGGTCTGCTCCTCCATCTCATTTGGCTGAGAGTGGCTTCAGAAGTTACCGCCAGACAAAAGGCAGCACCGCACCGTGTGTGTGTTTACTGCAGCTGCTTAAGGCAGCTCTAACCCCCAAATTAGTGGCCATCAGATAGCAACTGGTACTCAGCCCTCTCTTATTTGCCTGATGTATTTGATGCTTTGAGAGGGCTGAATAAGTCAATTAGTTTAGGAATTTCCCTCCATTGGTAGCCCTGGGATCTCTTCCTGGAGAAATGCTGGAGCAAACTCATGCTCTAGCAAGAACTGCTGCATTTATCATTAACTATTCTTTGACCTTTCTTTATTGTTGGCTTTGCACACCAATTAAACACAGAACAACTGTAGTGGCATGATTCCACATCGGACTCCTGCTGCCCTTGGGGCTTATCTGAATCTTCCTAGGGCTGCATCAGACACTGCTGGGCAGCATATGGCACAGCTCAGACTGGCAAAATCAGCACCCTGGAGCAGTGGAGCTTTAACCACACTACTGTGTGCCAGTCACTCAGCAAAGCAGCAGTCACAGGCAATGGCTGTCAAGTACTTTGGATCAGAACTGTCATTTGGAGAGAACCAGCACACAAAAAAGAGTGCTTCTGATCAGAAAACTCAAGAGACCGTTGTGAACAGCTGCAAAGAAGAATCAGCATTTCTCACTTCCTATTTACAGATGCTTGCACAAATAAATTAACTTGAATGAATTCATCCTGATTTACCAGAGGATGTGCCAGGCTCGGTCAGTCCTGGGGCCATCAAATCCCAGGGCCAGCCAGAGCCACACTCAGAGAGCAGCTTTACCAGCACAATGCACACCTTTGTGCCACAGAGCCTGAGAGCAGAGGAACTGCCACGCAACAGGCTGAGCCCCAAAGCTCTCCTTACGGCCTCAGCACCAGCTCTGCTGTCCTGTGGCACTGGATGAGAGAAGCCCTGTAAAGGCAGCAGCTGAACCCCGGTGAGGCAGTGAACAGTCCAGGGACCATCTGAAGGTGGTTTTGTAGCATGAAGAGATTCATGTTCCAAGCAGCCATGGTCCAGAAAGTTTATGTGACTGACCACCGAACCCCAGCAGACTCTCCAGTCCTGGGGACAGTATGTGCTGGGTCACCTGGGCCTTTAGGGACCACGTCCCAGAAGAATTCAGCCTTCCTCCATTTCTGCAGGTGAGTGCAACTCTACTCTGCAGCTCAGAGGCTGCATAAATCCAACATAAATGTTGACTTGGATATTATCCAGCTCTTTTCAATGGCAACACCAGTACACTCAGAAAATCCTAGTTTTAATTACATGAAAAATTACTGTCTTCACATACCACATGAAATGTGTTTTTCACTGTCATTCGTTTTTAGGAGATTATAATGTCTTCCTTCCGTTTGCCTCCATTCAGATGAAGTGTTGTAAAGGCTATTTTCGTGTGAGATTGCATCAACGGGCTGCACACGTACCCGGGGACAGGGATGGAGCAGTTGTTGGAGAGCAGCAGAAGTCCATGCTGGGAAGGCAGGTGATTGAAAGTCTCGCAGAACTCTTAAGCTCTGGAGCTGTTGAAGCCACACAGACCGAGAACCTGAGTCTGCCAAGAGCCTTCCGAAACCAAGCACGGCCACGAGCGCCCAGCGCCCTCACAACAGCCCTGACTCTCACCACAGCCACAGCGGGCAGATACCACGGGGGGTCTGTGAAATACCTGAAGCACAAAGAACTGTCTGAGGGGATTTCCAAACAGCTCAGAAGTCACCGACGCTCCTCGTCCGAACTGGGCCCAGCCCACCAGGCCTTGCCCCGGCTGGGCAGAGCTCCCATCCAGAGGCACCTGGGATCCACAGGCGGGAGGGACGGCCCGCGGGGAGCGCGATGCCCCCCGAGGACAAAACCATCCCTGTCCTCCGGCGGAGGAGGGGCTGTCCCTTGTGGCCGTCCTGGGCAAGGGCGACCCGAACGGGACAGCTCGGGGGACGGGAGCGGGACCCCCGTCTGGCCCATCCAAGCGCGCTCCTGATAATTTTGTACCCCCGAGGCCGCCGTAGTTCCGAGACGTGCTGGGAAGTGGCGGTGCGCGGGCTGCTGGGATATGTAGTCTGCCCGGGCGGGTCTGTTCATTGACGGCGTGCTTCCCGGCACCGCCCGGGAACTACAGCCGGCGGCAGCGGCGGAGCGCGGGCCGGGATGGCGGCCCCCTTGGTGCTGGTGGTGCTGGCGGCCGTGACGGTGCGCGCCGCGCTCTACCGCTCCAGCCTCGCCGTCTTCATCGCCGAGCGGGTCGAGGTGGCGTCCCCGCTAAACGCCTGGAAGCGAGGTGAGGCCCGGCGAGCCCGGGCCGGGGCGCTGCTGGCCGGGCCGAGCCCCGCGGGGGCGGCGCGGAGGAGCCAGGGCGGCGGGACCCCCGAGCCGGGCGGGCCGGCCTGACCCCGGCCGGGCGGCGGGCTAGAACCGGCCCCGCGGAGAGGGCGCCCGGCTGCGCCCCGGGCAGGGCCGGGCCGTGCTCGCCCGGGCCCGAACCAGAGCTGCAGGAAAGGGCCCTGAGCAGCTGTGCCGGGAGGAGCCCGTGGGAGGGGTGCTCGGCAGCTCCGGGGGGCGGGAGGGCCGCGCGGCTGGAGACAGAGGCCGGGGCTGGAGCCGGGCGTGCACAGCTGGCCGGGGACACCGGTGGTGTCACACACGTACACAAACCCGCCAGCACAGAGCGCGTGGCTCCATCGGCCTCGGCCGGGCCCGCTCCGCTGTCCCTGCACGGCACCGTGTCGCGGCGAGAGTCACTGCACGGGCCCTGCTTCACTTCCCTTGGCAGCTGGTGTCCCCACACGTTATCGGCGATTCAAATTCTCTTCTGAACGCTGAGTGAGGTCCTGGGTAATCGGGGCTTTTCAGTGGTGGTCAGCTGTGTATCATCTGAGCCTTAGGAACCTTAATTTACTTTGAAGACATCCCTCTGGTATCCAGTTATTATGCAGGTAAAATTATTTGCAATTTTGGGGTGGAAAAGTGCAGCCAAAAGTAATAAAGATCAAAAGTACAAGTGTATTTGATGACCTGAGGCCTCTGCTCCACTGTACATAGCACTTGATGCTTCCTGTGCTGTTGAATCTAAGTACCACCTTAGAGCATCAAGGTAGGTATCCAGATAGTAAAGAAGGAAAGTGGGATCATCTTTGGAGAGTCTGGGCTGTCACCATACAAGAAGTTGGTGGCAGTCAGAATCTATTTCTAATAGATTTCTGTTTCTAACTGAAATATTTCTGTATCGCTGAACTGAGCACCTCTCGTGTTTTCCTGCAGTGTCCTGCTTGTTCCCTTGGAACAAAAGGGCCGTTTCCCTTAGCTTCTTTCACTGCATACTGCTCAGTCCAGGGAACCTGTGTGCTCAGGAGGGTGGAGATTCCATGGAAAGGCACACACATGCATTGCAGGGCAAGCTGTAACTCCATGAGTTTCAACAAGAGATAAAGCTTTTAGCTCTGCCTGGCAATATGTGTTCATTTCTGTTCTTCCCTCGTGATTTGGGATGTTTGAGGCCTCTCTACATCTAATGAGGCAAAACAATTCAAGTTCCATATTATGTTGTGGCTGTCCTCTTGAAATTAAGTATTTCTCCAGCATAGATGCCATGTGTCACTTAATGGGAGGAGATACTGTGCATATGATTTATATAGAGTTAAGTGCAAAAGATTTCATCTAGAACATTTTTAGCTGAAACAAATAAATAGGTGATGAGTGCCCATGCCGGAACGTGCACAGAGCTGGGGTGAATCTGTGCTGGCTGGCTGTTGGCTCTGGGAGGTATGGTTTCACCCATTCTATGGGTGATATTCTTAGAGTGTCAGTGTTTTGAAAACTGCAGTTTTACCCTCACGGGATCTCTCACTTCCCACATTACAGGGTTCTAATGCAGGTGTTTTGTCTGTTTCAGTCGTCGAAGGATTAGCTCTGCTGGATTTAGGGGTCTCGCCATACTCTGGAGCTATTTTTCATGAGGTTGGTTGGTTTGCATGCTGGGTTTTAAGTGTGATATTTCAGTGGCAGGGGTCTTAGTTTGGCTGCTGAGGGCCTGGAGAAGGCTGGGGGCCTGTTTTGTCCCAAAGACAAAAAAGACTGCAGAGAACCTGAAGTTGTGTGGTTTGTCAGAGCAGTGGTTACGCAGTGACCAGCACGAGGAAATCCAGATAATCCCAGTGAATTCCCGTGCAGGGGCGGGCGCTGTCATATTTGTTACTGCATAAAGAAACTCTGAGACAGGGGGCTCTGTAATAAGTCAGGTACTGTTCACATCCAGCTGTTCCTGCCAGCACAAGCTGGAGCAGGGACAGTGTCACTGTGAGTCTGATAGGATTTACAGGGTATCGGCACCTGGAGTCTCTGCATTTGCAGAAATTCTGATACTAGCACAAGCATGCAGTTTATTTATTCCTCATCTTGAAATCACCTTATTCCCACAAAAGCACTTAAGCACCTGTGGGGTTTTGTGCCTTTGAATGCCCTTACTGACGTGAGGATACACTCACGCATTGTGTCACCTGGGGTGAAGCAGAGACTTGGTATCCTCTGAAAACTGGATTATTTTCAATAAATTCTATTTCTTTAGACAGAATTTCTCCCAGACTGAAATATTTCCCCATGCTTATTTAGACCATCACATTATTTTTAAACTTTTTAAAAAGAAATTTATTTTCTCACAGTGGAGGCTGAATTTGCAGCATGTAAATACAGTCCTTCCAGACTAAGCTTTTGTGTGATGGGAGTAGTTCAGAAACATACTTTTCCTCTTACCTTAAAAGGGAAATACTCTAGAAGTAAGAGGATGATAGGATTGTAACCCTACAGCTTTATGTTTTTAACATACTTTCTTCTTTATGCATTATAAAAGACACATCTAAACAGCAGGGGAACCAGCTATATAGGAAATCTTTCAAAAGTACCTGCAGACAATCTGAAAAATAATGTTCTATAAAAAAAATTACTTTCTAAGGGTGGTCTTTGTATGCTTTCTATTGTAAGTCTACCACTATTGTAGTAGAATTGAAAAGTTGGAGTAGAATACAATATTCAGAGTTGATGGTGTCTTTTATAAAGTGCATTGAGGACTTTGCAAGGAAAAAGACCAGTAAGTGTGCTTGAATTAATCACTTCGCTCTGAAATACCAGTGTTGGAGTATAGACCAAAGAAAATTGCCTTTGGCAGCATCTAGTAGAACTGAACAACTCTGGTAGCTTGTCTCATCAAATCACCAGTATTTTATCTGACAGCATTTGATATGGATTTCCCTTTTGTTCTTTCAGACCCCGCTGATAATCTATCTCTTTCACTTCCTAATTGAATATGCTGAACTGGTATTCATGGTAAGTGCTCATGGAAAGCTTTTCCTGAAAGGTTCCATTCAGGGAAATGCTGAGTGTGACTTTCTTTTTTCAGTCCTTCAGCCTCCCTGTAGCTCAAATTCCTGCTGAGCTCAGTTAATTAGAAAGGCAGCTTTGCCTGCACAAGGCCACATTCAGGCTTTTCCTTTCTTGTACATATTCCTTGTTTTTTGTGAGTTCTTGCTTAGGTAAGTATCCCCACACTTAGGAAGGTGTCATTTTATTTCAGATTTCAAATGTTGTCTCCCACAGGTAACAAAATACTGTGTCCCCCCAGCCTAATGCCTACGCTGCTGTTTCTGTCTGCCAAACCCCGGGCGTGCAAGGAGCACAAATGGCTTCATCCCCCAAATCTCTCTTGTAAATTGTTCTCAGAGTTCTTCTGCACAATTCAGGACAGAGGTGCTGTAGCTGGCTGCACACAGCACCCAGTGGAGCCTCTGTGCCCAGGTCCCTGCCAGGCAGGGCTTGTTCAGAGCCAGTGCCATGTGCCCTGTGCTGCTGCCTGGGCAGTCCGGGGCAGCTCAAGGAGCTGTTGTGCTACCAGCCGGGCACTGCCCTAGTGTTGCTGTGCTCTCGCTACACCAGTGGTTCTCTCTATTACTCTCATGTGCTGCCCTCCATGAACAATTTCTTTCCTCTTAATTCCCCATTCTCTTGTTTTGTGAATATAAATATTTTTGTACAGCTCATGTCTTCAAGGTGAAGTGGTGTGTGAGAGCACTGTACAAGTCAGCCTTTCAGGATTTTTAAAGTTTGTGTTTTGTTCCCCTGATCTGAGTCAGATCAGAGCTCCTGTTAAATGCTGACCAATATATTTTTCTCTGTTTGTTTGTTTTGCTTACAATCAGTCTGTCCCTTGCTTTTTTAGATAACTGATGTGCTAACTGCTGTTGCCCTTTACTTGGCAATCCAGGACTTCAACAAAGTTGTGGTAAGCTGACTTCCCAGTGCTGCTGGTCCTCTTCTCTCAGCAAATATAATTATCTTGGGCCAAAGAAAAGATGTGCCAGAGGATGTGGTGTCACGTTGTTGTTGCAGTAAATCTGGTCATATTTTAATGATAAACAAACAGGACTGAATGTGGAAGACAGCTGAGGCATTTTAAATTCTGTTGTGGCACTGTCACAGTGTCTGTAGCTACACACCGAGTGGTGATCGCAGCACTGTACAATCTTCTCCAGCCTGGGTGTTACACCTTGGAGAGGGTTTCTTTGCACACGAGCATGAGGTAAAGCACAGACTAGAAATTTGTAAAGGAAGGAGTGAAACCTTCCAGCTGTTCTCAGGTGAGCATTTCATTATGTGAAAGTCTGACATCAAATACCGCTCACTCCCTTCAAATTCCAAGGATGTGTATTTGGAGGTGAGTGATTCCTCCCAGCTCTCAAAGAACATTTTGCGTAAGCAGTGCTGTGCTCTTTGCAGTTCCAGAGGGGTGGGGATTAGGTATCAACATCAGCAGGGGACTACATTTTCTACAGCATCTCTGTGGTATCCCACCAGGCTATGAGCTTGTTCCTTGTCCTCTGACTTTGAGGTTAAGGAAATAACCCGGGATAGAACTGCAGGCATGTGAGAATTGCACACATGAGTTACTTCAGTTGTTGAGAATTTACTGCTAGCATCTCTGTCCTTCTGTCTCACCATAACCTAATTCAGTAAGTTCATATTTCAGGTTTCTCTCTTGTCTCCATAGAGAGCCTCCTAAAACAAAAGAGATTGAAGAGAGATTTGTCACAGAAGTATCCATCTTTAAAACAACAAAGACTGCATGGGGTTTGGGTTTTCAGGGGCTTGTTTGTTGAACAGTGAATTTATAGAGTTAGCTTTTCATTAGAGATCCAGAGAGGTGTTAGGAAGATTGAGTATTGGACTCTAGTGTGGTGAATTCACTGGTAGCTGTGTCAAGACATAGACACAGGTAATTAAGGAAGTTTAAACAGGTAGAAATTATCTGTTTCGTCCTGACTGTCACTTCAGTTTTTAAGTATTTGGGGAAAGATAGGGGTTTTTTGTTCTCTACAACTCCTCACATAAGTTCTAGCTCACACCAGGGGCTTGGATGTGTTCTACAGTAATAGAAACCCCAGGTAACTGGCTGAGTAATATGAAGTAGAATTACAGAAGTAGTACAAAATAATGGCTTTCCTGTTCTGACAGTCTTTGATCATTCTCCCTTGTTCAGTTCAAAAAGCAGAAGCTCCTAATAGAACTGGATAAATATGCACCAGATGTGGCTGAACTCATCCAGACACCCATGGAGATGCACTACATCCCCCTCAAGGTAGCACTGTTGTAAGTATTGCTCCTGTAGGCTGCAGTGGGCTGCTTTGGTTCCTCAGCTCCCTTTGGGGTTTATTTGTCTCATTTGGGCCTTCAAAAACTGTCAAAAGTTGGTTTTCTTTCCTGCAAAAATTTTTAATTTCCTGTTGGCCCTGAATACTCAGTTTGAATGTGAAACTCAGATGCATTTACATGTGCTTGTTGTCAGCAAGTAAATTCACTCAGGCCCTTTGAGATGGGCTCAGCAGCAAGGTCATTATCTGGGTAGCAAGAATGTTGAGTCAGCACAGATCGCATTCCCATTTATGTTGCCTGTATGATAATCACATTTGATATCAAAATTGATCCAATGCCTTCCAAATGGTGTCTTTTCAGAAAAGTTAGGAGAATTTTTCAGCAGCTGGACAAAATATCTGAATGTGTGCTGAATATCACAACTTGAATATCCCAAATTTCACCCTTTGAACATCCCAAATTGCTTATAACAGTTAAAAGATATTTTCATGTTGTTATTTTATTAATTTCATCCCTTGGTATTCTTCTGTATACTAAACATTTTTTTTTTATTTCAGAAGGCTTCAATTAAACTAATACACAAGCAAGGTGCCTACTGTTACAGATTTTTTAAATTGTATTTTGACACAAAGAAATTATCCAAATTGATCTGTATCAGAGAGAATTCTCCATTAGATAAATTGCCATTTTTTCTTATTTTCATATGAATTTTTTTAAATGGCACAGTCCCCAACACCAGGAGGGTAAAGTGGGTAAATTGCAGACTGTTTTGCACATTGCCACAGCAAAGTTGGCATTAAATTGTACCTGTACTGCTGTAGGCTGCCTTCTGGAAGCACTGACAAAGATAGACTGGGACTTAGAGACATAGGAAAATATAAAGAGAGAATTAGGAAATCATCAGCCCTGTCTACTGACTCTTAGTTATTGGCAAGGCTGATCAGTACATTGTCATACTTATTGTATTGGTAGTCCTCCAAACCTTTTTCTTTGTTCTGAACCTACTTAAATGAGATTATTGTAATTCTTGTTTCCAAAAGGAGCTGGCATGCTTGCTAGCTGAAGTGTGTCTGAATTCTGGAACGTAAAGTCATTAAGAGTTTTTCTGTAATTCCAGTTAAAATGTGCCAGTCTTGCATAGCTGGCTGGTTTTGTGCTCAGATAGTGCCATAGTGAAGGTAAAGGCTTGCTCTGCCACGGCAGGAGACTGGTTAGGTTGTGGGAAAATCTGCTTATTTCTCAGATTTCTTGTTTTCTCCTCATCATGTTTCTCCTTATTCCTCCTCAGAAGTAGTAGGTGTGAGTAGCAGAAAAAGTTTCCTTTGGACCAAATAATCCTAGATCTGACTGAATAAATGTATAATGCTTTTGCAAAGCAAGAAACATTTTTGGTAGTCATTTTCTAGGCCAGAACTTGCATTTTGGACATCTTCCCAATGTCTCATTTCTGTAGCGGGCTCCCTGTGGCCCCTGTGTCCAAGTCTGCAATCCAGAGGTCTGGTTTTTGCTTCAGATTGAAGAACCTGTTCAGCTGAATTAATTTGCTGATGAGAGGATCCCATCAAATGTAAATAAACAAAAAGAAACGGCAAAGTGCATCTTTTTTTTCTTCGAACATCTCTCTAATTAGACGCTCCTTTGGATGTAACCTCAGCTTTGCTCTTTTTCAGCTACCTGTTAAACCCCTACACTGTGATGTCTTGTGTGGCAAAGTCCACCTGCGCCATCAACAACTCTGTCATTGCATTCTTCATTTTAGCTACAATAAAAGGTAACACTGTGAAGAAAAAAGGGTTCTTTATGACTTTTTAGAAAGATAGAAATGTACCAAAAAATAAATCCAGGGGCGACTTTACAGATAGGATTGCTACAAAGATCTCAGTGAAACTTGGCACAAACAGGACTGAAACAAGGTCAAAGTTCTACATGAATCCAAAGACTTTATAGTCAAATGAAAACTTACTTTCACCTCAGTGTACCCAAGTTTACATTGAAAACTGACTCCTTTTCCTGCTTGTCTTCGAATAGTTCTCTCTTCAGGAAGAAACACATCTGTGTGTTGCAGAGCAGAAGAGCTCTGTTGCTCTTCTTTTGTATGTGAATATGCACTTAAATGTCATACACAATTTATTTTCAAAGCTTATCCTAGAACTTCTATTCAAAAGCAGGCATTTGCCTGCAGCTATTATTTGGCTTTCACTCGCACTTGTAAACATGGTTTGAAATGAACTAATTAAGCTTTGGGGAAGCAGAAGCAGCAACCAAAGACCCAAACCAGCCCAGTGGAGAAGATTATGCCAGAATCACTGTTTCATTCATTTTCTACATAATGCCAGCTTTCTGTTTCTTTTGACTCCCCAGTGCTAACATCTTTTAGCCTATGTGATTTGTAATAGTCATCTAAGTTTTAAGGAGTTCTCTACTGGATCACAGGAAAGGTTGGTCTGATCTTTGGTCTCCAGCAGGGCCTAGACTGATATAGGTAGATTTTATCTAAAGAAAGTTTTCCTATAATTATTGGCTAATTGAGTCAGGAGGTGTTTTAATTTAAAACCATTTGTAATAGCAAACAAGTGGGGTCTCTGTAGTTAAACTGATTTTTTACTGTTCACTGGTACCCTGAGACCGAAAGTTTGGTCATAGACAAAACTGTCTCGTGGTTTGTCCCTGACTGGGAGTGTGGCATTCTGGAGTTTAAGTGGGCAAAGAGGATATCAGGTTATGGCTGTGATTTCTAGGAATCACTTATTTAGATCTGTGCAGAACTGAACACTGGATAAAATACAGGATAGGGAGGTTTCTGTCAGGAGAGTGTAGTTGAAGAGAGGAGAGGCTCATCACCAGGTAACCCTCTATTTTCCCTTTCAAAGGAGGAAGCAGAGAGGAGCTCTCTGAGGGCTCTTGCTGTGTGATTTTTACAGAGGACTTCCTCTGAGTCTGTAGCTATAACCAGGCTACTGCACTGGGTGCTTGCATTTTTTATTGTTTAACCTGAGATCTTTTGGACATTATTTCTGTTATTGGCTGAGAATATTTCTGTTGTTGGTTGAGAAATGTGAGTGCTCAACACTGAGACACCTCAAATAAAGCTGCCTCAATAAAGACATGTATACTTACAAAATCACTTGGAAAAGCTGTGCCAATCCTTTCTGTGCCTCAGTTTTGGTGTCAGTAAAGCAGAGCTAATGCTACTCCGCTCCTTCAGTGCAGACTTTGCTTGCTCTCTTGCACACAGCTTTGCTGAGGCTGCAACACATTCTGGTGAGGAGGTTATCCAGCAAGCCCAGTGTGGCAGTTCTTACATACAGATATGACTGAAGTAAATGCATTCCCATGCATTAACAGCAGCCTGCATGGGTTTTATATAGAATCTGAATATGAATATATTTATATGAATATATGAATCTCTTTCTGTGTGAGTGACAGGAGATATAAACCAGCCAGTGGTTCGTTCTTACTGCTCATTATGGCTATGAAGTAATTCTCCATTCAAAATGTCATTAACAAGAGGACACCCTGCAGGATACATTCTGCTAAAAACTCCTTTAAGTGGTGTCCTGATACTTGTGAATCCCCTGCAGAGGGTTATGAGTTTCTTCCCATTTGGACTTCTGTCTGTATGGCTGTTTATACTAAAAGTTCCTTATAAACTTTTTTTTTCTTTGCAGGTAGTGCCTTCCTCAGTGCTGTGTTCCTGGCCTTAGCAACATACCAGTCACTCTACCCTCTCACCCTGTTTGCTCCAGCACTGCTTTACCTTCTACAGGTAGGTGATTTCTAACTCTTGGCACCTGTTGTCTTCATGTAGCTGTGCAGGGACAGTCCTGGGGAGGGGAGTCAGACAAGTGCAGAATTTCAGAAAAAGTGACTCTCCTCAAGCCATGGCAAGTTTGAACCCTGAATGGGAATGCCTGTGCTTGGAGAGAAGAGAGCAGGAAGTCTGCACAGCTGCCTGGTGTTTAGCTTGCCCAAAATAAGTGCTCTTCTTTGTGTTGTGTGAGCAGCAATGAGGAGCTCAGACCCAGAGAAGTTAAAAAATGCTGGTTTGGGTTTTAATGGCAAAAGGCATGTTCTGGAAAGAGGCTGGTTGTCCTTTCTCTCTCTCCATTAGCAAGACCCTGAATCCCACCAGGGCTGCCCTTGCTAATTTTATCCTGCTTTGGCAGCAAGGTGAGGCTGTGATGCCAGCAGAGGCTCAGGTCACTTCACAGATCACTTTGTGATAATCTTTAGTATTTTAAATACTTAAAATTCTGAATGCTGCTGCTGTGCATTTCACCAGTCTTTTTGTTACTTCTGATGGTGGTGTTTATAGCTTATCTTTACTTCATTAGCCTGTTCTCAAATCTCTGAGCTTCCAGACAGAATGGGAGTCAGTTCTAATTCATTTTCTTGCTCTGACATGAATATATCTTTTTTTCCAGAAACTTTATTGTTATTAGTCTTTAGAGGCAAAGAACTGTGGAGTCAGTATTGCTTTTTCAGTTTGATAAATTTTAGGAGAATTTATATCTTTAATATTTTGGGTCTCTTAACTCTAGTCAAAGTAAACTGGGAGTGAAGTGCAAGCATTGTACTTTGAATTCACAAATACAACACAAACACAATAAGTGCTTTGATATGTGATTGCCTAATTTGCAACTTTTAAAGGCAGTCATGCCAGTGTGTGTCCGTTTATCTAAATTTGTAAATGAACTTTCCTGCTTTCTTTGTACAGAATTAAATCAATTTTCTCCTGCTCTTTTCAATCTGTCCTGCCAAAATTTTTGGTAATGTTGCTTACATTGTCCCAGCAAGTGACATTAAACCCACTACAACTGAGAAAACCAGAGCCCAGAGCAGCCAGGGCAAGTTCTCTACACATCTCTTGTCGCTGCAAACCCCAGGGCCAAATGGAAAAGCCACATCACTGACCTGGAGCTGCAGAATGCTGAGTGGTTCCCAAAGGTGTTGGCCCCTGCGTGTATTTCTCTGTACACAGGCAGTCAGGGGACCTGACTGGGGACTGAGATATCCCTGTCATGTTACAAGGACATGTGGCAGTGGTAGGACTTTGTCTGAGGAAGCCACCTTTCAGAGGGGCTCCTTTTTGCTTAGGAACTCAGTGGATGTCCTCTTGCCCTGATTTCAGCAGAGCAGGAGTGCCAGGCCGGGTGGTGGTGCCACAGGGTGGGGGTTCTGGAGCAGGGATTTCGGTCACCCCCTGCAGTGGGGTCGTGCAGGACAAGACAGGCACCAGTGCAGTATTGCAAACATCTGAGGTACCAGTGCAGCTGTGAGGAGGGGTGTAAATCTTTCACCTCTTTGTATGCTCACATGAGGGACTCACTGCAAGCAGAAATTACCAGCTTTGCTACTGTATTGTCAAACACAGCTCTGAGAGTGCATGCATTGTGTGACTTAATTGGCCAGAGTGAAGAGCAACAAGCAAATTGTGCTTGAAAGCTGCTCCTTCAAATGCCATAGTGCCAGTGTTTGATGCTTTCTTTCATCAATTTAAAATGAAGTTATGAACACTCAGGCTTTCTTGTGGCTCTCCCCCTGATGAGGTGCTTCTGTTTCTCTTTCAGCGCCAGTTCATACCTATCAAACTGAAAAGCAAAAGTTTCTGGCTCTACACCATGCAGTATGCATCTCTGTACCTGTGCAGCCTGGTGGTGATCATCTGTCTCTCCTTCTTCCTACTCAACTCCTGGGATTTTATCCCATCTGTTTATGGGTTTATGTAAGTATAAAGATTCTTACTGATGGTTTTCTGTCTGGCCCTCCCCTGCCACCCAGATTGTTTCTTGCCCATCACACCCAGGTGTGTGCTTGACCCGGGAAGTGTGTGCTCTGTGATTTACTGGCAATGCAATACAAGAAAGAATATGTGGAGGAAAGCAGCCATTAGCCAGCTCCAACTTCTGTTAAATAAATAATAGCAAAAATTAAAGACAGGAGCTGTTTTCCACTGAGTGATTGGAAATGGATTTGGTTGTTGAGCTACTATGGCTGTGAAATATTCCTCTCTGGAGAAATGTCTGCTTGAGAATGGTTTAAATTCTACTGTGACATCAGGAAAGATTCCTCAGCAGAATTTCAACCTGCTCTCTGTGTTTTCATCCATTCGGTTCTCTTTCATGGATTTACAATTTAGGACCTACATCCAGTAGCACACAATGATTAATTAATGCAACAGAAGCAGGGCAGGGAAGAGCAGCCATTAAAAAATTCACCACTGCTTTCTTTTCAAATTTCAGCATTTCTGTTCCAGACCTGACACCCAATATTGGCCTTTTCTGGTACTTCTTTGCAGAGATGTTTGAACACTTCAGTCTTTTCTTTGTATGTGTGTTTCAAATCAATGTGTTCTTCTACACCATTCCCTTGGCAATAAAGTTAAAGTAAGTATGAATGTGTTTCTCTACCACTTTTTTTTTTTTTTTTTTACTCTTAAGTTATCCAGTGGATGCTTCTAAAGCTGAAGTTGGATGTCTTGACCTACAAGCCTGAAAAATATTTTTAAGAGGGCTTATCCTCCTCATTTCCCATAGTTTCAGCTCTTCAGTTTCAGTTCCTCTTCAATAGAGTGTCTTGGTCTCTGCTCTGGAACTCTGTGTTGCAAGCATCGGCAGAGGCAGCAGAAGTGGAGGCTGTAGAAGTGCCAGCATAAGGCACTGTAGTCAGAAAGCAAGAACTGGCTGGAACTTCCAGCTCTTCATTGTCAGAAAAAATGTGGAAACTTGAGGACTTTTCTATCTGACTTCATTTACTTCTTTCTGATAAAAACACCCATTAACCTGGATTCTCTGTGAGCTTGCCCTTTGGCTTGCCTTAGTTGTACCAGAGGAATAACTGTGGGCTTTGGGCTTCTCCAAATTACCATCAGAGGGCAGGTGCTAATTGCTTCTGGTGAATAAGGCAGGGCTGGGAAGCACAGTGCAGGTGTAAATGTTCATTGAGCTTGCTGGGTGAGGGCTGTGGCAGATGTGCCTCCCCTGACCCTGCTGCTCTGCAGGGCAGCTCCATCCACCCCATCCAGCATTTGGAGCCTAGTCTGGAGACAACAGGGCTGCAGGAGCCTCTTTGAGCTTCTCCTGCAGCACATCTGTGCCCTTGCTGATATTAATTTGCAGTTTCCAGAGGCCCTACTGCATCCTCTTAGCCTTTGTTTACCTTTCCAGGGAACACCCTGTGTTCTTCCTGTTTGTCCAGCTCGCCATCATTTCTATCTTCAAGTCCTATCCCACCGTGGGAGACGTTGCACTGTACATGGCCTTCCTTCCAGTCTGGAGCCACCTTTACAGATGTAAGTTCTTTATGCTTGATTATTATTTATCTGGAACAGAAAAGGGCCTGCCAAATAATTAAATGGTCACCACTAAACCAAACCAGACCCAAGTTCATAGGCTCTCGTGGCCTCCATGGGGTGTCTAGAAGGAAGGCTGGATTTTGGAGGTTTTTTCCTCTGGTGATACAGTCCCTAACATGTCTTTAGGATTTGGGTTGAAATTGGTCAAGGAGGGCATTTTCACTTGTACCTTATCTTCCCCCTCTCTCCAACTTGTTCTGAAGATTATCTTTTTTTATAAGAACCTTTTGCAGTCCTGCATCCTCCAGATGCTTCACTCCCATTTAAGGCTGTGTAATTTGAACAGTGCTCCTCCATTTGGTGAGTCCCCCAGCCCTAAAGTGCTGAATCTTGCAGTTGTGCTTTCTTTTGTATCTGCTTGTTTGCTTAGAGTGAAAGTAACTGAGTTACTCCAAGCAGTTGTCCAGACTTTCTTAAATGCTTCAAAAAGACCCTCTTTATCTCCTGAAATCACAGAGAGCTTCCTGTGGATTCTCAGGCTCAGTCTATAGAACCTGTTTCCATGGGGAGATTTGGAAGTGTTGTGTTTTTCCAGCGTTTCTTACTTAAGCCAACTGCTTTGACCAACCCTGCCAGGCTGTCCAGGCCTTTCACTGCAGCCTTCTCCAAGCCAGGCCGGGTGTGTTCATGGACAGCTCACCTGCCTGTTGTAGGAGACACAATCAGGAGACCTGGAGACCATCTGCTCTGTGGGTTTCAGACTCAGGAGAGCTGAGACCAGCAGCTGTGATCAAATAGGGCAGGAGTCCCCAGGCTGGCCCTGAGCACATCACAGCTGTAGCAGGGAGAGGGACAATCATCTGTCACAGGCTCCTACCCACAGTGTGTGAACAGACCTACTGAACAAGAAATCTAAAATAGGTGGGAAGAGGTTGGGATGCGACAATGCTCCCAAAACATCATCTGCCCTCAGCTGCAGGGTGATGGGCATGGGCTGAGCTGCAGCCAAGCACAGCAGCCTGAGTGTCAGGATGGATTACAGCACTGCTACCGAAGGACAGGCATAAGCACTTCACAGAAAACAAAACCTCTCCTGGCCTGGTAGTTCCCAGCTGTTTTAGACAAAGTTGTGCTTGGTTTTTGTCCACCTGACACATACTCAGGCAGACTGCTGGATTCTTGCACCTCCCCATGTCATGTGTATGTCAGTGCATTTGGCCTGTATGAGTTTCTTCCTTTTATGGTACTTTCGTTTCTTTGCCAGCTCCCAAGAAAATATCTTTTCCTGTAACTCACAGATTGATTTTTTTCCTTTGTCATTAGCTTGATGAGGCAAGGGATTAAACTGCTCTGCTTTCCAAACTGGGGTGTTGCTGGCAAGGCCCCTTTTGCAGGCTGCTGGTTACTGTGGTGTAGATACCAAAAAGCCAAAGTCATCCATGAAAGAGTGTTTGGAAGCAGGATCTAGAAGGAAAGAGCTACAAATGGGGATTTCACACTGCAACAAAGGCAGAGGTATTTATTTTGAAGGGAAGTATAGTGGATTTCTTATAACCACTATCCAGGAAGTTACTAAAGCAACCTGTGGAAGGTTATTGGAGGAAAGTATGTCTTGGCAAGTGCCTCTGACCCCCTGCACACCCTAAATACCATTGCTGGTTGTGTGACCATGACTGCTCAGTAATACATCATTTTAACAGCTGGTTTTCTTTTACAGTCCTCCGGAACATCTTCATCCTGTCATGTGTGCTCATTTTCTGCTCCTTCCTGTTCCCTGTTCTGTGGCATCTATGGATTTATGCAGGAAGTGCCAACTCCAATTTTTATTATGCCATCACGTTGACTTTCAACATAGGGCAGGTCAGTAGAGTGAGGCAAATGAAGCTGCCTCAGCAGACAGCTGGATGGGGTGGCCTGTCAGGAGCTGTGAATCCTTCAGGATGGGGCTAGCTCTCTGCATCCTGTGTGGTCCTGCACAGCAGCTTCCTGGCTCTCCTCCTGGATTCTGCCTGTTCCTCAACCCCTGGCACAAAAATGGGAAAGAGCTCCTGTGGTGTGAGCTGTGGTTTAACAATCCAACCCAGCTGACTGCAGGTTCTGTGCTGTGTTGCTGATGGCCAACGAAAAGCATCCCTGTATGGCAGGACCAAGCACAAGTGAATGGAGAAGGGGAGCTAAGGGGAAATGGAAAGACCTCAGGGCAGTAGCAGTGGGGCCAGAAAACAGACAAATGAGACCTGCCCATGCTCAAGGACATGGCACCAGTTTTTCTGAGACATGGCAGCATGTGCAGGGTCCTGATGATGCCAGGACTTGCCCTCCCTGCCTTTCCTGAAGCCATTCTGGATACATAACTTCCACTGGCCTTAGGGAAAGCAGGGCTTAGCACCCTTGAAGGGTGGAATTCAGTGTACACAGGTGCTACAACCTTTTGTAAGTCCTTTCTCTTCTCTGTGCTGCTTGTCATGTACCTGAGCCCTGGGGCAGTTTGACGTGTGGGTGAGCAGAACGTTCATTTCATGTTAAAGTTGCCTTTAGTTTGAATGTGCCTCAGCCATTTATGCTTGTCTGCTTCTCCTAAAGCCAGGGGAACACTTCCACCTTGGCAAAAAATCACCTACTTTTACCCTTGATTAATGGGGAAAACACTGATTTGGTAAAACCAAAAGAGACTGCACAGGTTGAGAGGGAGAATAGAGATTCTGCTAAGAGGGGCTGATAGGAAACTGGGAGTGGTTCATTACAGGTCCTGCTATGGAATGAAAGGAATAGTAAAACTTTAACTAGAAATAGCAGGTGTTGATATTCTAAGAGGGTTTTATTTCCTGCCTGAGAAAGTCATAGCAGAATCCTGCAAGGTCTTGTGCTCTGTGAAAGGCAGACAGCAAGTCTCTGGTCTGATTTCCTTGTGAGAAAGCCCGAGCCCTCATCCCCACCTCAGCTTTCTTTTCCCATTTAGATATCTGCAGAGAAGCTTAGTTAAAGGTAAAATCACCTGCACTGACAGAGCCTGTCAGCAGTGCAGCAAAGCAAGCACATCATAGCTGTTTGGGCTGACCCTCTCCCTGGGTCTGTTCTCCTTCACACTTTCTTCCCTGACCTCAGCAGTCTGCAGCCCTGTTTCTCTTTCCCCTGCTCTCCACCTGATCCTCCATCCCCTCCTGTCCTGCCACTGAGCCTCTGCAGCAGCTGCTGTGTTTTTCTGTGCTGTATTGCACAGTAACCCAGGCAGGCTCTGACTGTCCCTCCCTCTGTGCCCTTAGCACTGCCGTGTACTTCAGGTGACATAGTGCCAAAGGGATGCTTTAAGTGGCATCTGCATGCTAGGACACGAGGACAATAACTACCAGCTCGGCCTGGCACTGAAAAGGTTTTCCACTCTAGTTACCTGCTTCTGTTTCCAGATGGAGGAGGGCAGCAGTCCTGCAGGAAGGTCACGCTGCAAGAGGCTAAGTGACAAATGGCACTACTGAGCCAGCAGGTCCCTGTCACAGCCCAGTCTGCCCCAGCAGTGGCAGCTTCCCAGGGTTGCAGCTTTAGACTTTCTACTGTCACCTATTATTGCCATCTCAAGGCCCCCAGGCGTGGGAACAGTCCCACCATGTGCCTCACTACAGCCAAATGTGTCCTGGCTCAGGGCAGAGTGGCTGGAAAGGCCCTGGGGGTGCTGCTCAACAGCAGCTGAACAAGAGCCTGGTGTGCCCAGGTGGGCAAGAGGCCAGTGACACCTGGCCTGTACCAGCCATGGTGTGGCAGCAGGACCAGGGCAGCGACTGTCCCCTGTGCTGGGCACTGGTGAGGCACCTCAGGTGTCGTGTCCACTTCTGGGCATATCTGTTCAGGAAGGACATTACAGGGCTGGAACATGTCCAGAGAAGGGAACTGAGCCCCAGCAGCACTGAGTGAGCTGGGGGTGCTCAGTCTGGAGAAAAGGAGGCTCAGCAGGGACCTTCTCACTCTGCAACTCCAAGAGGAGGGTGCAGCTGGGGGGATCAGTCCCAGGGAGCAGGGACAGGATGGGAGGAAACGGCCTCAAGCTGTGCCAGGGGAGGTCCAGGTTGGACATTAGGAGGAATTTCTTCACAGATGTGGTCAGGCATTGGAAGGGGCTGCCCAGGGAGGTGTCCGGGGAATGCCTGGATATGGCACTCAGTGCTCTAGGCTGGGTGACACGGTGGGGGATCAGCCAAAGGTTGGACTTGGTGATCTCAGAGGTCTTTTCCAGTTAAAATGACCCTGTGATTCTGGGACAACACTAAGATAGATAGATAGATAGATAGATAGATAGATAGAAGGAGTCCTGTGGGTGCAGCTGAGATGCCTGTGCAGCTGTGCCACAGCTGGACCTGCTATTGTCATACATTTTGGCCAGTTTATGGAGCTACTGTATGTGAGTCTCCCTTGGCTTAATATGGCGAGGGGATGGACAAGGTGTCTCAAGGTCACAGTGACTCCTCCAGCATCATGTGCTGAACAGCCCAGGAGCTGCTTAACCCCCGACAGGGTCTGTCACCAGCACATGTCCCTCTTTATTCCTTGCTCTGAAGCACCACTGATGTGTCTGAACATCTCACTCCACAGATCCTGCTCATCTCGGATTATTTCTATGCCTTCCTCCGGCGGGAGTACTACCTCACTCACGGGCTGCACCTGACGAGGCAGGATGGGACAGAGGCCATGCTGGTTTTGAAATAAGGACTGTACCACCATTTCCTGGGACATGGGCCACTCCGAGGAACATGCAAAGCTTGGGGTACATGGGGTGGGTGGGGAAGGTTCCCTGAATGAGGTCTGACTTTGGGAATGATACCTACTGGAAGAAAGGGTAGAGGTTATGGGAATAACCCCCTGAGCTGCAGGCTCAGCACAGACTGTCATAGCTGCAGTTCCTCCCCCTCAGCTGTGCTTTTCACTTCGACCTCAGCCATCAGCTCTGGCCAGTCCAGCAAGAGCAGGAGTGTCTGAGCTAAACCCAGGCCTGGAGTTCAGACCATGAACTGTTTTCCACCACTGCTTCTTGGAGATGTTTGCTTCTCCAGGGATCTTCCCCTCACTGCTTTGACCAGTAACGCTCCTGCTTGGCACAAGGCAGTCTCTGGGTACCTGGTGCCCCAGTCCTGGCTGCAGATTCCATTTCTTGGTGGTTCTGCTGTTGAGGGATCTGGAAGAATCCCATGTGCTCAGTCATAGTGGGTGCTGTGAAAGGGTTGGGTAACCAAGGATGATGATCTTGGACGACAGCTGGAGCTGCTGCCACACCTGGTAACCTCAGCGCTCAAACACAAGTAGGAACCAGAACTGGGATGGGATGAAGAGCAAGGTGGGTACCAGGTAACTGCTCTATCCCCTTGGAGCAACACAGCCATGCCAGGCACTGCACAGAGGCGTTGCAGGTCTCAGAGGGAATACTACTGAGGAGATGGACTCCCACTGCTCCCAGTTTCTGTTGGGTGACAAAGCCTGGCAGTGCTGGGCTCACACTGTGCTGCTGTGATCACTAGGGGCAGCAGCTGGGACCAGGAGGTGTCACAATCTCCCTGTAAGGCCCCAGACCAAATCCAGGAGGCATCTCAGCCACTGCTGTTAGGGAGTTGTTCCACAGCTGCTTATCACTACTGGATGTGCACTTGTCTGTGTCACCCCTGTGCCCGTCAGTGCGGGGCTCAAGGCTGTGCACGGGGGCTCCCTTCAATCAGCTCCCCTGGTCCCCCCCACTCCTCTCTGTACTCAGACCTGCTCACCTTGGAGTTGCTGCTGCTGCTGCCCCCTGAATGTGACACTCTGGGGTGAAGCCACCAGCTCTGCTGGCTGTGTGGTGGCACTGAGATGCAGTGACCAGAGTGTGACAGCCGCCTCCGGCATCGCCACTGCTCCCACGGGACAGCCGAAAGCTTGGGAATGTGACATGGAAACCAAACTGCACCTGGTGCCGAGCAGCTGGATGTGCCCAGGCAGGTGTGCAAAGAGATCTTTCTTTCCGGACAATTCAAACTTTTGCCTTACTGCACTTCTGTCCGCGCTTTGGGGGTGGAGCCGCGCCCGGCCTGGGCCGAGCCCGGCGGGAGCCTCCGGCCGGCGGGGGCACGGCCGGGGCGAAATAAACTGTGTGAGTTTTGGACACCTCGTGTGCTCTGGCTGTGGGGGCTGCAGGGTGAGGGTGGTGTGGGGGGCACTGAGTCCCAGGGAGGGGCTGGGAGGGGAGCTGAAAGCAAGCACGGGTTGGGGGGAAACAAGTGACAAAAATGAAACAGATCTGTGGGGTGGGCTGAAGCAGCCCGGCTTTAGGGCAGGGCCCGGTCCTGTGCAGCAGCTGCATTTGTTCCTGGAGCTGTGCCCACTCTCAGCCCCCTGGGCTGGGTCCGTCTGGGTATCCTGAAGGAGCAAGTCCCAAATTTGGACTTAAGCAGTCCTGAGGAAGGTGGTGGGATCAGGGCCAGGGGAAGGACAAGGAGCATGGTCAAGGGTAGGGAAAAGGAAAGGTCAGAGGTAGGGGCAGGGAGAAGGGGTAAAAGGGTAAAAGGACAGGGCAGGGGAGGCACAGCATCAAGGACAGGGACAGAATCAGGGCAAGGGGTATGGAAGGGTGGGGCCAGGAGCAGAGATGGGGCAGGGACAGGGATTGCCATGCTAAGGCAGCTCAGGCAGGGACAGGGAGCCCTGTCCAGGGTCCCAGAGGAAGTTTTTGGGGCCACCAGAACTGCCTAGTCCCCAGCAAGTGTTGCCAGTGACTGAATGCCAGGCACCAGGAACCCCCAAACTCCCACTGCTATCTAAGGCTGGTGGGGACAACACAGCAGACACCCACCAGGGCTGCAGTGAGCCTGCTGTGGAGATGAGCAACGACCCAAAAAGGCCTGCAGTGGGCCCAGGGCCAGGCATCAAGGCCATCGTGCCACCAGGCAAGGCATACAGGAAGTCCTGACCTGGCATAAATGGAGCACTGTTGCACTTGGACCCACAGGCTCGCAGCCAGGCTGGGTGGTTTGGGGGTGTCATCAGTGAGAACGGGCTGCACCGGGGCACTGCACCTCTTCCCTGGTCTGCAGGGGCTTCTCCAGAGGCACCTGAGGCTGGCAGCTCCCTCAGCCAGTGATTCCCTCCCTCAGCTGCCAGCCCCACGCTGGGTCCCTCAGCGTGAGGGTCATTTGCCACCAGGGCCTCCTGTACTGGATTTGTGTGTCCAGGTTTTGGTAGTGGGGTGGCTGGAGGAGTGGCTTCAGTGAGAAGCTGCCAGAAACTTCCCGCTGTGTCTGGCAGAGCCAACTACAGATGGCTCCGGATGGAGCCACTGCTGGCCAAGGCCCAGCCCAGCACAAATGATGCCTCGAGGATCAGGGATTTAAGTAGAAGAAAAAAGTTACTGCACAGACATAATTGCACTCAGAGAAGAGCAGAATGAAAATGAGAGGAACAGTCCTGCACACACCCAGGGCCAAGCAGGGCAGGAGGAGGGGCTGGAGCTGCTTCAGGAGCTGGAGCTGAGATTCCCCTGGGATTCGGTAGGGGAAGCCCATGGGGAGGCAGCTGTGACCTTGCAGCCCATGGAGGGCCCGGGGGTGCAGAGATCCACGTGCAGCCTCTGGAGGAGCCCACACCAGAGCAGGGGAAGGACTCCAACTCCTTTCCCTGAGCAACAGCAGAAAAAACAGGTGATGAGCTGATCATAACCCCTATTCCACATCTCCCTGCACTTCTGGAGGGGTGGAGGCAAAGCTGGGAAGGAGGGAGGTGTGGGGAAGGTGTTTTTAAGGTCTTATTTTACTTCTCATTATCCTGCTCGGATTTTGTTAGTAATAAATTCAGTCAATATCTCTAATTCAAGTCTGTTTTGCCCTGAAAGTATTTGATGAGGGAATGCACCCAGTCCTTAACTCATGAACCTTTTGCTGTATTTTCTCAGCCCTGCCCAGCTGTGGAGGGCAGTAAGAGAGGCTTTGGCAGGTGCCTGGTGTCCAGCCAGGGTCACCCCACCTCACAGGTGTTGGCAGTTGCCACAACCATTGCAACAGTTGTGTTGCAAAGAGCAACTCCGCACAACCTGTCCCGGCGGTGCCAAAACAAGGGAAGTCCCTGGCCTCGGGGTTCTCTGCTTGGTTCCAGGTGAGAGCGGGGGTGCGAAAGAGGTGACAGCCACCGGCCACCACGCACCTGTCTGGAGGGGGCTGCCTGCCCACGCACGCCAGCACCGTGTAGGGGGGACACGTTCTGGACCCCACAAGCCGGGGCAGAGCGCTGCATCCGCACCCACCCTGCCACGCACCGATGGCCAGGGAGGGGCCGGCGCGGCTGAACATTAACCCCGGGACGGCGTCCAGGGCTCCCTGGCGGCGCAGTCCCAGTACCCCAGAAACACCTGCAATGAGGGGGCTCCGATGCGGCTACCAGCTCCTGGTAGGTCCATCGTGGGAGGGTCCCGCATGGCAGTGGGCAATGAGCTCCGGGGCAGCGCTGGGAGGCACCCACCAGGCTGGATACGGGGCTGGACAGGCAGAGGGGGCTGCCCGGGGAAGAAGGAGGGTCTGGGGGGGTGCGGGGGGTGATGGGCACACGCGGGACCTGCAGCCCGCTGCCTCCCGAGGATCCAGACACCCCGGGGGCAGATCTGCGCCCCGGGGCCGCACTCGCTCATCCCTCTCGCCCCCTCAGGATGCTGGGCGGGGAATTGCTGCCCACCCGCCCTTGGGCACGGGCTGCAGCCACAGCCATCCTGAACACGTGGCTGGCTGAGACGCTTGTCACTAGCGGCCACCGGGACCGCGGCACATCCCCGACCTCTTCCGCGCTGCGGGGTCAGCCTGGCCGTGAGCAAAGAGGGAAAAGGCAGGGCTTCACCCCTTCTACGGGGGCCGCAGCTGTAGAAGCCTTCCTTGCCTTCTCTTCCTCCTCCTCCTCCACCGCTTCCTCCCCCTTGAAATTCCGTCTGCAGCGGTGGCACGGCCTGGCGGGGTGCCAAGGCACGGCACGGCACGGCATGGCGCCTGGGCTGTCGGGAGCAGCACGCAGCCGGGAGCTGGGCTGTAGGCTCAGCCTGGTGCCCATTCCCGTGGACTTGGGGCCCCTTCTCCCAGCCCCTGGACAGAGGATGGGAGACACCCCACGCTGGGCGGGTTCGGGAGCTGCTGCTCCCTCAGGCCCGCAGGGATGCTCATCTCCTGCTGCCCCCAGCCCGACCAGGACGAGGAGCTGCCCATGGGATGCGAGGACCCAGCTGGAGAGGGGCAGCGGGGCTGGGAGGGAGCCCCGGCAGCAGCCGAGGAGGAATCGTGCAGGCTGGTGCTGAGCACACCCAGCAGCATCCTGCGGGACAGGGAGATCGAGGAGGTGAGGCACCCCCGCCTGCACAGGGACCCCACCCTCCCGCTCGTCTGCCCGTACCCACAGCCGTGACCACTGTCCTACCAGGAACGGTCCACTGTGAGGCCAGAGGCGTGGCATTCTCCTCTGCCTGGGGACGGTCACCTCTGTCACCTCTTGGGGGGCAGGATGCTTGGGGAGCCATCTCAGAAGGGTTTGCAGGGTGAGGACGCTTTGGGAATGTGTTGAAGGGGAGGGTGTTTGGAAGCATCTCTCGGAAGGATGCTCAGGTGGGTATCTTGGGAGGCTGCTTGGAGGGATGATGTGTGGATGATGTGTAGTCCTCCTCTCGGGAGGACTCTCAATGAGATCTCAGGTTTGTGCCGGGGCAGGGGAGGATGTTCAGCCGGTCAGCACCGACTGAGGCCACTGTGCCCCAGCTGAGCCTCCAGCTGCCCCCGCGGCTGACGCAGCAGCCCTGGCACCTGCTCTACTCCACCGGGCGGGACGGCTTCAGCCTGCGGACGCTGTACCGGAGCGGGGCCCGGCCGGACTCCCCGGCCCTGCTGCTCATCAGGGACACGGAGGCGCAGGTACGGCCGTGCCCTCCCCAGCCGCGGGAGCTGGGGCCCGTGTCGCACGGAGCTCGGGCACCTCCTCGCTCGCTTGGCAGGACGGAGACACGTCCCGGCGCTGGGAGCCCCTCTGAACGCCGCCCCGTGACTCTCCCCTTTCTTCCCCAGGCTTTCGGTGCCTTCTCCGCCAGTGCCATTCGCAGCAGCAGCGGCTTCTACGGCACGGGGGAGACCTTCCTCTTCTCCTTCTGCCCCGAGCTGAAGGTGCGGCTGCAGGCTGCCAGCCGTGGGGCACCCCGGGGCGGGGCTGGCCGTGTCCCGAGTGCCGGGCCATGCCTGGGGGTCCCCGCGGTGCGGGGTGGATCTGGGGTGACGGGGCTGCGCTTGGCCAGACGTGGGGACAGCAGCCGGGGGACCCTGCTGGCAGCAGCCCCCAGGTTTGTCCAGGGCCGCGGGGAGAAGGCGAATCACAGGCGCTGTGTATCAATCACAGGAGGGAAGCTCAAGGAAGGGGACCCTGCCCAGCTGAGTGTCACCGGGTTCCCTCCACGTGGCAGGGCGGTCGCGGCCCAGCTCTAGGCTGGCAGAATGTGGAGGCAGCCGTGCCTGGCACCGCTGCGGGGCTGTGCGTGTGATGGGGCGTTAGTGGCGGCAGCTGTGCCCTGGCAAGGCCCACAGACCTGTTGGCAGGGATGGATCCGAGCCACAGGCTCGGCCAGGTCTCCTGGAGACGCGGAACACGGAGGTGCCCGAGCAGAGCCAGCTTGGCTCAGCAGCCCCCAGCTGGTCCTCGCAGGACAGGGACAGGAAGGGGGTAGGAACACTGCCCCAGCCCGCGGTCCCCTCTGTGTGCTGTCCCCATGCAGGTGTTCAGGTGGACGGGCAAGAACGACTTCTTCCTGAAAGGGGATGTGAATCTGCTGATGGTCGGTGGGGGCAGGTAGGAACTGCACCGGCAACTTCCGCGGCTCAGACGGCCACCAGCCCCAATGGCCGTCAGAGCCATCACAGGAAGCCAGGCTGCCCTACAGGGCTGGGTCCAAGCACGTGGTGATGGTTTGAGCCCCAAAACACTGGCATCGGCTGCCCAGCAGCACCGGGCTTTTCATTCCCTAACCCTGCTGCCTGCTGGAAGGGCTGCCGGTTCCCAGCCCCTTCCCGGCCCGCTCCCTGCCTGCAGGCGCGGTGCCAGACCCGGGCCAGCTGCTTGTCCCGTCTCATGTCCGTTTTGGGGAACAGAGCGAGGACGGGAGGTGGCTGCTCGCCCGGGAGGTGGCGTGGGAGGTCTCCAGCCATGAAGGAGGCAGGTCGCAGCTGACCGTGCTCTTGGCACATTCGCAGCGGAAGGTTTGGGCTGTGGCTGGATGGGGACCTGCACCACGGGGGCAGCCACCCCTGCGAGACTTTCGACAACGAGACCCTCTCACACCGGGAGGAGTTCTGCATCCAGGATCTGGAAATGTGGGGTCTGGCCTGACCCCAACAAAGACACCCAAGGAAAAGATGCTGGAGAGAGGATTCTTTGGACTGATGTCTCAAGCACAGCTGTTCCCTGACAGCACCCGCAGAGCCTGCGGGATGCTACCAGCCTCACCCCCTCCTCCTTTCACCTGTTCCCAAAAATATCCCGATTTCATGGGGAAAGAACAGCCGGTGGGGGCAGTGTGATTGGAAAAAACAGCAGTGGGGTCTCAGGCCTGCAGCACTGCTGCCGTGTGGCTGGGGAGTCCAGAGTGTGCATGGGCTCACAATGGCATAGCACAACTAACCCTAAACCTAACTACTCCTAGCCCCAAGCCTAACCCCAAAGCCAACCCCAAACCACCTGGGTGGGATGAGGCAGAGCTGCCCCAGGAGGAGGGCACGTGGCAGAGCTGGGCACAGCAGGGCCCCACACGGAGAAGGAAGCTTCAAGAGCAGTGACATTTTAGGACTGAGCAAGCCCAGTCAGCCTCTGCCCCCGGGGCTGGCTCTGGCAGTGCTGGGGACAGCACAGTCACCATTCCTCAATAAACTTCTCCTGGCCTCACCTTTGCCCGTTGAATGGCTCTGTGAAGGTGTGCAGGACCCGTGGTGGGGAGCAGGCCAGAAGCTGTGACAGCCACGTCTTGTCCCAACCTGGGTTGTGTGGCCACAGCAAGAGTGGGGGGTCAGCCTGGGGCACTGCTTCAGGGACCCATCCCCCCTCTGGCACAGTCCACACCCTTTGTCTGTCACCCTGTGAGGATCAGGAGGGGATGACAAGAGCCCTTCCCATGCAGAGTTCTACAACCTGTTGCCTCTTGCCTGGCTGACAGGGTTTAGCCTCATTCCTGGAGGCTGAACCAGCTCTCCTCCTCCTCGTCCACCACCCCTGTCCCAGCAGCAGAACCAGCCCTACAGGGGGATTCCAGGCAGGGGTGGTTCGTGGGGGTCCATTGGAGGGCAAGGGCCTGTCAGGTTTGACCACATTTGATGTATTTATCGTGGGAGCACAGCTGGACATCCAGCTGAAGTATCACCCCACGACCTCACCTTATGTCAGCTCCTGTCCCCAGATCTGCAATTTTGTGAGGCCTGCATCCCATGGAGCCCCAACCTGCAGTGCTTTACACCCACCTACCCTCCCAGTCCTTGAGTACCTTGTACTGAACCTCACCAATCGTTTCCCTGCTGATTCTATCTCCCATGGCCAACCTGTGCCGTCTCTCCAGCAGCTGGCACTTACCCCTTGCAGCACACATCCACACAGGCTGGGAGATTCACAGAGAAATAAGTGAAAATGGATTTACAAGGACAGACAAGAGGTGCAGGGCTCAGGCAGATACTACACTGACCAGCCCTATTTTCAACACAACCCTCTCATACCCCTTTTCTCTCTACCCTTTCATATCTCCCTCCTCCACCTGCAGAATGCCACTGACCCCCTCCACTGTCCCAGACCCTCAGTGACACATGCCTGGAGCCCCCTGCAGCCCTTCAGGGCACCCAATTCAGGGCACCCAGCCCCTGTGCCTTGGTGCTACCCAATGCTCCCTGTTGAAAGTGGCTGAACAGCACCATCCCCCTGGGCACCTCACCCTTGTGTTCACCAGGACCTTTTCCCAATCCCAGCACTGCCTCACCCCTTGCCGACACAGAGCCCCTGCCTTCAGGCCCATTTCACACCTCTGCCAGTGACACTGGGGTAGGATCTACACACTCCAGGGCTGGCCTCTCTGGTGTGGAGCAGAGGGAAAGGGTTCTGTACCTGCTGACACCACCAGGGCACCGCTGGAACACTTGGCTGAAAGAGTTGTTGCACGTATTTTGGCTCATGGTGAACTCCTGGATCCTTTCCTCTACACTTCCTCATGGGTGGGTGGCCTCAACACATCCTGGTGAAGGAAATTACCCTTCCCAGATGCAGGCATTGCACTTCCTCTTGGTGATCTTCAGAAGATTCTTGTCAGATCCTTTCTGCAGCCTGGTAAGACCCCTCTGGATCCCAGCACATCCCTCTGGAGTACCAGCCATGTCTCCCCATGTGCAAATGTGCTGAGGGTGGACCCTGTCCACCAGTAATGGGCCTCTGGAACTGGAGCCAGCACCACCCCTAGCACAAGACTTGTGTCATGGGTAACCCACGCTCCGAACCCAGTCCTCCAGCCAGGCTTTGGTGCAGCCCTGCCTGCTCACCCAAACCCAGCTCACTGAGGCTGACACCATCACTGCTGTCCCCTCAGCCCCGGCACAGTCACCTCAGCACAGAGGGTGACCAGGTTGGTCAGGCATGGCTTCACCTTCCCTTCCCCTCCCCAGCAGCTGGAGCAGCAGCCAAGGCTCCCTGGCCCCTGGAGGTGGCTGCCAGGTGTGGCAGGGCCAGGTGGCTGCACTGAGCACTGAGCAGGGCTGGGACCTCCCCGAGCCCGGGCCCCACTGCCCACGAGAAGATATGAACCAAGAACCTCTTCAGAGGGAAGCTCTCCCACAGACAGCAGCTGGGAACACCTTGGCTGCTTGGAATGGCACAGCAAGACTGTTTTTAATAAAGTCCACACACTGCAATTCTTGAAAAGAATAGTAAATCGTAGTTTATAAATTTATTCTTTAGAGAGGCTCAGATGAACATGTTTAGAAAAGAAATGCTCTCAGAACTTAAACTTAAGCATACACTTTTGGTTTAACATAAACAAAAGATCTTTCCCAAGTATAAAGTGCACAGTTAGTAACAACTTAAAAACAAACCAAATCAACAAGAACAAAGTTACATCAAAATGATACTTGATCTTATGCAGACAAGGAAGATAAATGCCTTCACTCTAAGATATTGTTTCTTGAGGAATAGTAAATTTTTAAAAAGCTTTTAAAGAGGTCACAAGCCCTTCTAACCAAACTGGTTCATGTGCAGGTCTGAAATACTGTTAGACAGGAGCACCAGAGGTGACACCTTCAGACACATGAGCACAGATACATAAGCAGCAGAAGTATTATGGCTATTCATTTTCCCTCCCTCTAACAGCACCAGTTCCCAGGATAAAAAGGGCAAAGGAGATATTACAGGGCTTGTGGAGTTCTCTTACAGCACTTTCCCACTGGGTTAGTTTTCAGGACCTACCCTGGCCACCCACACCTGACTGCCTGAGCCAGATGTTCAACACCTCTCTCCTTTCCAGATATATAGATCACAGCTTGCTCCAATTCCTGAGCATTACTGAACCTTTTACTTTGTGTTTTTAGTTTTGTGGTCAGACTTTTTCAAGCTTTGAGGTTTTATTTAATGAAAGCAGCCTTCCTCTTAGACCTGAGTAAAAGATGAGAGGAAAATGGTCTTCACTTGTCCAGCAGCACAGACATTCAGAACATTCACACCAGTACTGCCAGTACAGGAAAACTGTAAGAACCCTCACAGATCTACAAGAGACAGAAAAATGATACAGGGACAGCCAAGAGATCCAGGAGAACAGGATACAAGAATGGAGGGATTCCTGATGAGCCTGTCTGCCCAGTACAGTGTAAAGCAGCACCAAGGTGCACTTGGTGCAGGATGGGCAGAGCAGGGCAGACCCCTGCTGGCACTGCCCTCTCTGCACACCTGAGCCTTGCAAACACCTGGGCAGCTCAGCCTTCCTGCAACCACTCACACCACTGGCCTTTTGAGCAGTCTTTGCAGGACAGACAATAAAAAAAATAACATTCCATGTATCAAAAATACACAATAAAACAATAAAAGGCTGCATGGCACTGCAATGCATTGTTACTTCAATAAAAATTGTGGTCACTTGTAGCAAGAGGCCTGCACCAGCTTTTTGAATACTAGAAATATAACCTTTGATTATCAAAAGATTCCCCTCTCCCTTCCTTTTTTTTCCATGAAATTAATTTTGCTGATTTTGAAGATGCCACCCTTGGTAATTTCTTCTTTACCTCACCATATTTTCAGAAGCATACTTATCCCTTTCTTTCTCAGACACTAAGAAAACCACCAAAAACCCCATCAAACCTGGGTTGGGGTTTTTTCTGCTAAGTCATATAATAGCACAGCTAAGGAAGGGATCAGGACTAGACGGAGTAGTAAAATCTTGTAATAACAATGAATTGCAATTTTTAAAGTTACTCCTGCTACACAGTGCCAATACATTTAAAAAATAATGAGAACTGAGTTTACTCTGTTGTAATAAATTGTTTTTTAGAAGTCCATCTGGATTAACTATCTACATTAAAACATTCTGTATTGCAAAATGCATTCTGCATTGCTCTGTGAATTATTCCAGTCCATCCAACCAGCTTTTAGAAAAGCTGATGCTCAAATTTACTCATTTTCTGAGGAAGCAGACTGAATAGCACCAAAAAGAAACCTGCTACTTATCAAAAGAAAGCCTTTGTTTGCAGCTGGGTTCTGAGGCTCTCCTGTGTTCATCATCTGTCATGTTATTCCAGGTTTCCTTCATTGGAGTTAGATGAGGAGCAACAACATCACCATCCTAGTATTAAAATACAGGAAACATTAATTCACTTTTGCTTTCCATTTTAAAGCCGAGGAAAAGCAGCTCACCCTCAGGCTGAACTGGAAAAAAATCAATGCAAGGTCCCAGAATCTTTGTAAATCAATAAACACTGGTGACTGTGCATCCCAGAGGTGGAAACTGCTGCAGTGAGTGGTGGGGAGAAAAAAGTGCCCTGCCTGAGAAGGCATCACCATGGGCAGTCCAGCTCTTCCTAAATTATTACCAGAAAATCTGGAAGGTCAACTGGCTGTATCCTGGCCACTGGTCTACCAACAGAATCATTAGAGTGTTTCCTGTGACCTCACCACAGCACCTCATTAGCACTGCTGCAACCAACCTGCCCTTGGTGCTGGGATGTGCCTTGCACTGTCTGAAACAAGCAAGGTCATGCAGCAGCTGAGGCAGTGGGGCTCACCCAGTCACACACAGATGGTAATCTGTGCTCAGGCACTGCCAACACACACCATCAGCTGCTTAAGATCAGAAATTGGCTGGTGAGATGCATGTTGCTGTGCTCTGCAGCATGTCAGGGCCTGAACCTGAACAATGTGCTTAGAGGACACAACCAGACTCTACAACCAGGGAGAGCTGTTGCTTGATCCATTTGTAAAAAGCCCTTCTAAAATTACAAGACAGAGGCCAGAAGGATGACCTTAAGAATGGGCCTTACCCAGTTTTCCATGCCTGCCTCCCCACCTAGGAACACTCCTCTTCTGGGGGGCCTCTCATGTTTGAGGATGCAGGTCTTTCCCTGCCTGGTCTAGTGGAAAGTGTCTCTGCCATGGCAGGGGGTTGGAACAAGGTGATCTTCAACGTCCCCTTCCAACCCAAACCATTCCATGATTCTATGATCCTATGGTACTTTTAGGTGTCTCCAGCACTACTTCAGTGAAACCAAAGCACCCCAGATGGGAGCTGTGATAAAACCAGGGGTCAGGTGAGTGAGTAGGAGCCTCTGCCACAAAGGCAAGGCCCGAATGTCCAAGCTGTTAATGAAAAAGCAAGCTTATGAGCGCTAAACAAGAAATTAATGAGTGAATTTGTTACCTGTGGTTTGGTGAAATCATTCTGCATGCACCACTGAACAAAGTACTGTTTTGCAGCTGAAATAATATGTGGATCCTGACTTTTGTAATAAACCCGGACAACCTGCTCCATAAATATTTTGGGTAAAAGCTTTGAAACCTTTGAAATAAAACAGAAAAAAGCATTAGTATTTCTTGGAATACAGAAGGAAAGCAGTAAGAAGCTCCACTACAATCCATGAGTTTCATCCAAAGCAATTGTGATATCCCAGCTCCTGGTGTATTCCAATTAAATACTGATCATATGCAAAGGCTGTCAGGGTTCCAGATTGTCACAGTACAACACATACTGAAGATCTGCAAGGCCAAGGATCCCACCACCTCTCCACAAATCCTGCATGAACAACCACACAGGACTGTGATCACTTCCATCACAGATGGTGAAAATGCTTTTCAGAAGGAAAGTAAAAACCTACCTGTTCTTTACTGATTTTGACTGCCTTGGAAGGATCAGCCTTGCAATAGAAGTGAACCTTATCAATTGGATTCTGTTCCTTCATTCCATAATCCATGCTGATAACCTTGCATGTAAAACACAGAAAATGGCATTTGTTAATGTTTGTTTTTAGTTTTCTCACAATAAATACAAAAGGCCACACACACTCCACTCCTGAAAATTAGTCATCAAATGAAACAGTAATTAACAAATTATTACTTAAAAAACCAATCTGGTATTTGCATTTTGCATCTTTTCTTCCACCTCCTCTTGCTCTGATGCTGCCAGGTGGATATTCACATTTACAGTGACCAGCTCCCAGTTGTGCTCTGAAACATTCCAGTTTCCAGCACTGGAAGTGGACTGGTCCCTTGCCAGCCTGGGCCTCCCCAAAACACACAGCCTACAGAGGCTGCAGCAGAGATTACAATCATAAACATGAGGTTTAGACATAATTTACATCAGCCTGGTACACCAACATTTCTGTGCTCAGCAGGGACCCACTTCCCCATGATTTCAGTTTGTGGGACGGGAAAAGCCCAGGCAAATTCTTTAAAGCCCAGTGACCTGCTACAGTCTGGCCCAATGAAGTGAACCTTCAGTGCAAGGGTGCTGCAGGAGCAGCTCATGAGCCACTCGCTCTTCCCAGAATGAACTGAGAACAGGGATGAAGTGTGTGATGCCTGCAGACTGCCCGAGCTCCCTCCCCTGTCTCAGGCTCCCTCCCTCCCACCACTGCTGGCTGCAGACTGAGCCGTGGCTGCAGGTTTCTGCCTGCCAGGCATCAGGAGTGCAACACCTGGAGCCTGGAGGTCACTTTGCCTCTTTTCTTCCCACTGGCCCCAGAGGTTTCCTGTCTTCCTGACCCACCCAGTGGTCCCCAGGCTGCTGCCATTGACACCCATGTATCAAACCCCACAGGTTTCTCCACTGCTCCTTGTTGGACTGAGGACAGTGACAAGAGAGCCCATTTGTCACCAGGAGCAGTGTACAGGTGACAGCCCAGTGAGGCTCCCCATTGCCTGCTCCACACCCTCCCACCACAGCAAACCTCCCATGGGAAACTCATTGCCCTCAGACCCTCAAACTGAACCAGGCCTGCAGCTACAGACACCCTGTGGGTCTGTTCTTTCACCAGGGTATACAAGGCCCTCTGTGATCGAGAAGTTTTTACTTGACCCCGCTCTGAGAGGTGTTTACATCAACTATGAAATTCTCAGCCTTTAGCTCCACATCTGGAGGGTCCTTCTCTGGCTTGGAATTAGCAATGCTTTCTGCCAGGCTGTTGCTCTGAAAGAAACCAAACCAAAGGATTAACTCAGTAACTCAAATTACCTTTATGCGCTCTCAGGTCTAGGTTAAGGCAACACAACATGTGACACAATATGTTTTTAAACTAAAGCTTTAAATTCTTCACAGTTTGACAAGACTCTTGCAACAATCTGGTTGTTTGAATTACCGTACACCACAGCCATTAGTACAAAACCCAGTTTTTAGAAAGAAACCAAACTTATGCAAATGAGAAGACCCAAAATCTGTCAGTCTGTGAAGGAGGAGCTTTACACCTGATGATGGGACAGGCAGAGAGCAGGAGTGCACCATCCAGAATGCTGAAGCAGGAAAGTAGAAAATAAGTACCTTCAATCAACTGTTTTACCAATACAAATGTGTTACAATTAAGTTCCCCAAAGCTGAATACTAGACATTTTCACTGAACTTTTGTAATGAAGGGCTGCAGGATCTTACCCTCTAATAAAGCTTTTATGTCTATGCAGTAAAACATGTAAAAAACCACAAGAGACAGACAACCACAAAATAAAAAAATCCTACAAAAAGTACTCTGCTAAAGTACTCCACAAAGGAGTTTTGCTTGGTTTTGGCCCCAAGGGAATATTCCCTGCTGACACTGGGCTAACGCAAAGCAGAGGAGCACGGTTAGATGGAGAACAGCTGTCCACTGAAATGTGTGAGTCCTCATTCAAAGGCTGTGGCCTTTTTCAGGGCTGCTGTGTTCTGGGGAAGATGCAAAATTTGAAGCAGCAAGATTTCCTGGGAGCAACTGAGACTCATGGGAGTGCAGCCCAGAGCAGTCTGGAGACTGTCCCAGAGGGAAGGAATTCCACTAGGAGCAGTTGGTTTTTTTGTTTTTTTTTTTTGTTTTTTTTCCCCGTTGGTTTTTTGTTTGTTTTTGTTTTTTTTATTTTTTTTTTTTTTTTTTTTGGGGGTTTTTTTTTTTTTTTTTTTTGTTTTTGTGGGTTTTCTTGTTTTGTTTTGTTGGTTTGTTGTTTTTTTTTTTTTTTCTTTTTTTTTTCTTTTTTTTTCCTGTTGATTTGTTCATTGTAGAGATGAAGAGACTGACGAGAGAAAATCACACCCACTGCCAAGCTGGGGCACGTGTGTGGTTTGCAGTGACTCTAGAAACCAAGGAAAGGCTTATTTAGACTGAGAGCAAGCCCAGAGGAAAACTGCCAGGAGGGAACAGTCTTGAGGTAGCCTGTTTGTAATTATTTCTACTCTGTATCAGAATGTATATGTGTTAACTTACTGCCTAATTTTGCTTGCATTGTTTTGAAATTACCTTTCTGGTTTGCATTAACTGGAAACTCAACCTGAATTTGAGAACTCTCAAGCTCTTTGGGGTTTTCCCCTGGCTCTGGCCAGCTTGAGAATCACAGAAACACACAGGGCTGGAGCTACCTGGTCTAGTGGAAGTTGTCCCTGTCCATGGCAGGAGGATGGACTGGATGGCCTTTCAATGTCCTTTCTAACCCAAACCATTCTGTGGTTCTAAACACAACCTTGTGGTGTGTGAAGGAGCAGAGCAGACACAGCTCTGTCCTGTGCAGCTCCCCTGCAGCGCTGAGAGGAGGCTGAGCCTCTGACACAGGCACCAGAGGGAAACATCCTCCCTCCAGCCCTCAGCTCTGCACCCCGAGCTGCAAAGCACTGGCTGGATAGAATTACAGCACTGGCAGTGATCCAGTCTCCCTTCAAAACAACACCCTGGATACCCCAAGATTCAGTCTGGCTGGACTTTCAAAGTGACAGTTTTCCTTTCATTAATCAAGCTTCTAAAAGGAGCTGTTTAAAGGTGGAACTCGTAACATTTGCTCTCACACCTGTCTCCTGATTTGTTGGGCCACCTACCCAACCTTTTCCTCAGAAGGGCAGGAACTTGACAATCCATATACAACCATTTCATGTTTGTTTTCATCTATTTCCTCCTGCTTTTGTAATACAGAATCTCTTAACACTACTTTTTCTTAAACAAAGAACACAAGCAAATCTTCTCTTCAAACAAAAAGATGAACAGCTACATCTAGCAGTCCTTCTCTAACCTTATTCTTTAAAAGAGCTGAATTATTTTTATGAATGCTTTCTAGATGCAGACATCCACTTCTGGAAATCAGGAATAGAAAATTTTCACCAGTATGGATGAAATTTGGGGATAAGTAACTGATGACCTGACAACACAGTACAGCACATAAAAAGAGCTGAGCCAGCTGAAGTGAGCTCTAATATATCATTATTTTGAAATCAGACAACAGGAATTAAACTGTCTGCTTTAAAAAGCACTCACGTAAAAGACTGGAAAATGTACATGCATTCTCATGCTCAGTACAGAATTTAACACCAAGAAATTCAGCAGCTATTATTCAGTTTGATATTTATTCTCAAAGCAAAGCACACAAATTATGATTCAAAGCAAACGTGCCCCTTATTGTTTTGAAAGTTTTCATGAACATCAAATGATATAATAACCTTTTCAATCACTGGACTGTAAGAATCTTCTATAAAATTCTGTATTTTTCAAAAAAGCTTTTCATGAAAATATTTCTGCAATAATTCAGCTTCTGAATTTCCACCTGTTGGCATTCCTCTGACTGTCTGTAGATACAACTTTCCCCAGTTTCTTAAATGTTTCATGGCTCAGCTACTTAAAGATGGGCGGAAAACTTTTAACTCTATTTTTGAATAGCAAATAACAAAAAAACCCCCAAACCCTCAAACTAAACAAAGCCCACACAGAGATAAATGGATGTTCAGCAACTTCAAGAACATTTTTATGGGGACAGAATTCAGAACGTTCTGCTAAGGGATATTACCTTTATAATTTCCTTCTTTGATTCAGGTCGAGTCTCTCCTAAAAACTTGTATAATTCACGTCGTTCTATTTTACGCAAAATTTCTCGTGCCTCCTCCAGCTCTGGGTGACTTGAGTGCAGAATTTCCAGGTAGACACAGTCTGCCAAAGTTGCATTGATTTTTGTTATGTATGTCACAATCCAGTGTCACAGTAAAATGAACAAACAGGGCTAAAGGTTAAAGCAACCAGAAAAACTGCTGGTTCAGGAAAGTCGCTTTCAGGGAGTGACAGAACTAAGTCTGACAATGAGAAGTCACAATATTATCTTAATTATCATTAGCTTCACAATGGTTGTTGGCAGAAAAACTATCTCAATTCTCACCTTGGCAATATACTTTGTTATTTCACTGGAAGTTACTTTCTCCTCTTATTTAGCCAGTCTTGTTTATCACACTATCCTGAACTCCACCACTAACTAGCTCAGGACATGGGTAAAGACTCTGTCTTGTAAAAAAATAAAGAATGGCCATTAATCTTTCAGGTTTTGTCAGACTTTGGATGCCAGCATCAAAATCCTCCCTCCTGACTCCACACGACAGTGACACATGCAGCAAGATTCCCACCATCAGCTGGAGCAAGACAGGTTTCTTTTGATGTGGCCTCAGAACAGAAGGGTTATTTTTGGCTGTCCTAGAGACTGCTGTTGCCAGGATGCTGCTGGCCTGATCTGCACCCCACGACTGCATTCCCTGGCCAGGAACACCTGGGCAGCTTCGACACATGCTGCAAGCACAGCCTTGCAAGAGCCCACCCAGAGCTGCAACTGGCCTGAGGAGCTCCCAATGGGGTCCAGAACAATCTCTGAGCTATGCACCAAAACACAACTGGTTTAATGGACAAGCGCAACCAAAGCCAGCAACTCCTCCATGAAGAGCCACAGACCAGGTCTCTTGAGACAAAGAATAGGTAATGCAGGGGAAATAAGAAGCCCACAAATATCTTCCCTGTGCAAAAGCAGCAGTGACAAGGAATGCTTTGCTCTCTCAGCCTTTACTAGAACTAGGATTTGCTGCCAAATCAGGAGGCAACACACGGTGGCTCTTCACCCACCATGGAAGAAAACTAGGGAACCTCCTGCTGCAGAACCTCCCAGAGGTTCATAATTTGTCGAGTTCCATAACTGGACAATTTCACAGAAACATCACTCACCAGGGACTGCTGAAATAACTTTGGAGTGTCCAGGTTGCAAGCACTTGTCCTGGATTAAAGGACAGGTGTCTGCCAGAGAAGATGGGAACCTCCCTTGGAATGGCGAATATGACCCCCTTCCCTCTGAATTATTACAACATTGAAATTCCAGGGCTTTCAGACAAAGGTATGAGAGAAGGAAGAGCGGTTCCTCAGCAGCGTGTGTGTGTATAACACGGCAAACAAACGGCAGCCCCGGCACAGCGAGGAGCAGCCGCAGAGCCCCAGGGCCGCCTTCTCCCACAGACGCTCCCCCCGGGAATGGGGAGGGGGCCGGGGTCCCCGTCCCACTGAGGCTGGGTGTTGGAAAGGTCCCAGCTCAGCAGCTGCTCTCATGAGCAGAAGCTCACCCCCGGTAAGCAGAAAGCAGCGCAGGACAGAACTCCACAGCAGCAGCCTGCCCATCTCCCCTCTGATCCCGAGGGCGAGAGTGAGCAGAGCTGAGCCCAGCCCCTCAGCCAAAATCTCCCGCTATCTCTGCCCTTCCCAAGAGAATGGCAGCAAACTGCACCCTTCCCCCTCCTCCTTGGCTACATCTTTTCTCTCTCTTAAGTATTGTTCATTCCCATCTCGCAGGCAACAAATGGAAGAAAGTTCCCTGAGCAAAAAGAAAAAAAGGAAAAATCTTACCCTCCACAGCACCAGAGGCAGAAAGGAGGTTTAAGAGGAGGCCATACTCGTCCTTCATGCTCCATTGTACATGCTGGAACATTCCCCACATGACTCATCCTTGCTGTTCAGCCCTCCTTGCTGAACAGATGGTCCCAGCAAGCAGCTCCTTGCTGTGGCAGACTGTGAGAGGCTGGGCACAGCCCTGCTGTCCTTGCCCTGAACTGTGCTCCTCACCAGGTACCAGGTAGCTCCAGCAGGACCGCCAGGCCAGCCGTCCCACAGGAACAGGCCCAGAACAGGAACAACTTCAGCCCTGTTCTCTCCTTTCTGCCCAGCCTTCCACTGCTCAGCAATGCAGCTCATGCTCCCCAACAACTACTGCCCCCCAAACCAGCCACCCTTGTCCTGCCCTGAGCAGAGCACACAATGACAGAGGGGACTCCTCACCGCAGCAGACTGCAGGTGGCTGTGGCAAATGAAGGACTGCCAGCAGAAGGCCTTTAGCATGACATAAGGCACACGGGATTCTCTGCAACAGTGCCCTCAGGCCCTGTCACTTCATCCATGGACCAAAGACAGAAGTTCTTCAGTCTCTGTGTTGGCCAGCCAAGGCTTGGTGATGGAAACTCAGGAGGGTCAGCTTGGAAGCTCTGGTGAGCTGTAGCTGACAGGTGCTGCAAGAGCTGCCAGTGGTCAGGAGCAGCCCTGAGCAGGACCTGCACGCACAGAGCCAGCCACAGAGCACTAAGGCTGCCTAGCCCCCACTGCAGCTCTGAAAACAACCAGAGGAACACTGGGGCCCCACAGCACAGACCAGGAGAGGGAGGCAAGCACGGCAACCTGAGACCCCACGAGAGTTATTTGGAACCTGCTTTGGGAATAGCTTCACACCACAAAACACATCCAGTACTCCACCTGACAGAGCCACCTATGATACCACTTAGAGCTCACTCACATCCCACTTGTGACAAGTGCAACAAACTCAGGGCACGGGCAGAACCTTCTAACACTGCTGAATCTGAACATATGTGGAATATAAAGTTGGTGCTTCTTTCTCTCTCTCTATCTCCACGTAAAAGTAATTTAAATTAGAAGGTCTTGCTCTCCCTTCTAGCAAGATTTCAGAGCACAAGCATTAGACACCTCAGGCCTGCCCCACCTTCTGTGCACAAAAGCAGTAAAACCAGCATTTTAACAGGTATTCATGCTCTTTTACTCAAAAAAATAATTCTGAGACCTCATACCAGTTAGTTTAGTGTAGGCTTCCATGTCCTCCATTGCTGTAGAAATACGATACACTTTTCCTCCAGAGCCTCTTATTTCAAAATATTTGTCTGCTTTTTGAAAGGCTTCTGTTATCCTAGTTTGAGAAAAAATTACGGCTTTGGGATAATATAGTTTTGAAACACCTCACTGATCAACAGGCAAAATTAAGCAAATTAGTATGCTGTAAACAGAAGACAACAGATGAAACCACCCCCAGCACACACTGAGCACTGAAACACCTTGTCTCCATGCTGTCACTGCCCATTCCAACAGAGATTTACTGAAGACTGTTGTGGAACAGAATATAACCTTTAGATGAATGAGAAAATTCATTTTGTTCTGCTTTAGACTGGGTTTAACTCTGCTGAGACAATTGCAGAACCCTGCAAAATGGTGACATGGTCCCTCAGCTGCAAGCCTCCCTTACAGATGACCAAGCCCTTTTGCAGACTCCTTGCTTCCTGAGTTAGCTGAGAGGGTAAAGCATTGTAAAGGGAAAGCATCACAAACATGTAGTATTTTCAGATGGGAAAAAATTATATTCTAAAGATGAGATTCTTCCGAATTTCCATGTACCTTGCTGTCATTTCCAGCTTGGACACTCTTTCGAAAGGCTGCTATAATTATAGGAAGACAAGAACTGAGTTTTTCTGAACTAAAAAATATGTTTTACTTGTTATATGTAGGTACTGTCAAACCTGAGCATTTTTAGTCTGAGTTTTAGAGGATCCCTAAATCAGGAGGTGAAGCTTATTGAAATGAAAGCAATCCAAATCACTCTTGTACTGTGTAATCCTTAACATTCCTTTTTACCAAACTCAACGGACAGTTACCCAGTAGACAAGACCCTAAGGAAAAAATATTTGGGAATACAAGTATTTCTGATTCTCAAGAAAAGTAAGAAGAATAATGTTATAGGGAAAATTCTATAGACATCAACAACAGAGGTAAAACAGCAGGTACCAGCTGAGCTGGTCCTGAACAAATCTTGCACTACATAAACACAAAGCCAGGCCTCAGCTGAACTACATGAGCCCTTTCATGACTTTGTTAGTAACCTTGTTCTAGTAACCAGGCAGTTTGAGCTAAGTGGTCTCTAACTTGCAGATAAGGATTTGACTTCAGCTGTCAGCAGTTTAAATGGTTTAAGCACACCCTGGTCCTGTGCTTCTTCAGGCCTTTAGTAATTCTTCTCTAATTTAATTTAATTTAATGTGGAAGGACTTTGTCCTCCTCTCTTTCTGTTGTTGTTTGCTTTGTTAAGCACAGCCTCTATGACACTCTAAGCACTAAGTCTTTTCAAAAGAATCAGAAGTAGCTTTTATTCTCTGTCACACCTTATTGATTTTCTGAATATTCCAAATGGATGTGGATTGTTTCAATAATTGAAAAGGAAGGAAAGGAAAATATACTTGCATTATTTCAATGATGTTGCCAGTCTTATGCTGGTATGCTCTCCGATGCAGGCAATTCCGGGTGTGGAACATCTCATACAAATTTCCAACTTCCTGAATCAAAAAAACCCCATCAGCATTTACATTTGCCACTGTCTTACCAGGAAAATTAAAACAATCAATCAATTAATCAAACTAGTTGTCTGCTCCCATTCACAGCATAAAGCAGGATGATTATTATTCACAATTTCAGATTTTGAAACTGGCTCAGGGCACCGCAGGAGAGCAGTGCTGGCAGTGCCCCAAGCAGCCTGGCAGCAAAAGGACCCCTCATCCCTTCAGCAGCCCCTCACCACAGCCACGTTCAATGCCAGCCCAGCAGACCTGGAGCAGGATTACGCAGATCTGACGTGTCTGTAGAGTATCCCCTGACAGGATCTGCCACAAATCCTTTCAAACAGTGCTTTGCTCTGTCCCTCTCCCAAACAGCAGCTTCTGAGAAAAACTTTCAGAGCAGCAAATACTTCTCTTGCTCTTGGGCTAAGGGAGCATGGGCAGGATCCCCAGCCACGGGGTGCAGCTCCCCTGTGTTCCCCCCGGTGATCTGAGCCCCTGGGCTCCACACACTGCTCACCTTGTCACGGGTGCAGATGTGCTTTTGGTTTCCCACTTCACAGACCCGAGTGAAGATAAGCAATCGCTTGTAGTCAAAATTATTCGGGATTCCCAGGTGATGGCAATCCCTAGAAATATTCCACAGAGTGTTTAATGATATGATCATTTTTGTACATACAGTAGCATTTTCTCAATAGGAATTCATAATAAAATATAAGATTTGTACCTTGCAAAATAATCCCACTTGTCAACGTCAATGCCATTTTTTTTATTAGCTACAATCTCATAGAGGAAACTTTTCTCCTTTGGTCGACCACGGTAGGGCCACTGGCAGGGGAACCAAGAAGAAAAACAGCAGAAACAACAAGAAATTAAAGTGTACCAACAATGTCAAATGGTTTTTTAAAGACAGTGGGTCTTTGCTTGTGATAAACATCCAGCACTGAGATAGTGAAGAACACAAAGACAAGGAAAGAACTTCCAGAAGCTATCAGGCATTAGAAATCCAGAAGAGGGCCTAAGTAGCTGTCTTCTCATAATCTCAAGAAGAATAAAACCTATGAACACAAGTATTTATTGCCCATTACTCTACTAAAAGAAAGTCTGCAGCTTTGAAATGAAAAACCAAAAAAACAACATACCAGCAAAGAGGGGAAATTTTGGAATGATTTAATTTTCAGGGAATTAAATACACAAATATGACACTGTCCTGCAATCTTCTGCAATCTACAACTCCATAGAACAGAGTTTAAAAACACTTAGAAGTTTTAAGAAAAATTTTTTGAATATTCAGCTACTTAAACTCCTGCCTCACAAGGGACAACTCAGCCATAAGGTGAACAGGAAATGAACGCCAAAATAGTAAGATAAAAGGTGCACATTTTCTTGAAATATTAAAGATCCTTCACCTAAAAAAATGCCATAAAGTGGCCTTGAAATTCTGAAAGTGGAAAGCATTATATGCAAACATGGCTTCAATGTTACCTGCACTACAGAAATACTAAAACTGATGTGAATAGCAACAGAAACACATGCAAGCAGCAGGATGCAAGCACATCATGGATAAAAATACCATGATCACAGAGCTCTGCTACTGGCACATGTTCAGGACACTGTTTATGTCTGGTGCCTGAACACCCACTGTCCATGTCATGACAGAGGCCACAGTGCACAGCCTGCCAGTGCAATCTGCTGCCTAACACCGGGAAGGTGCTGCCATGTATCACGTGTGGCACTCCTCCACCTGGTATCCTGCTGGAAAACAGGCACAGAATCCAAACAAGGCAAAACAGACACGGGGAAAGAACCTGGCACAAGATCAATGCTAGTGGCAGGCACCAAGATTTGTGTGCAAATGAGTCCAGTGGGATAAAAGTCAGCTTGTGGATTTTGTAAATGGATGTCCTCTTCCTATAGCATCTCAGACTCAATTTCACCATGCCAATTTCCTTGTATTTGCCATGGGATTGCTACCCACTCCTGCAGCAGAAAATAATGGGCAAGTGTGAACATTTGTGGGTTACTTGTTTGGGACTGTATATAAATACTGATTAGGACCAGACTGTCCTGACAGATCTCCCACTGACTTCAGCTGCTACCAGTTGTTTACTCTGGTGGCAACTGAATGAGTGTCCCTGAAGAGATGACAAAAGCTGTAAAGTGTAAAATGAGGAGAGAGGACTGAGGTCTTTCATAGAATTGCAATGATTAAGAACTGCCATCCCTTCCTGCTTGCCTCTTGAGGCAACTCATTTCTTCAAGTCTTATCCCTGCCTCTATGTTTGCTACTGCAATAAATCAAAGCATTTTGCTGCTGTCATCAAAGCTGTTGTGGCTCTGACACTTGGGCCAGGCTTGAGTTGCTCACTGCCTCATCACTGCCAGAGCCCAGTTTTGTTATCAAGACTGGGGGAGGCCTCCTTTACTCCAGGCCAAGCCCCCTTAGGTCCCTCAGCTGCTCCTCATCACACTCGCGTTCAGACCCTTTCCCAGTTCTACTGCCCCTCTCTATTGCACTTCAGTGTCTTTCTTCAAGTGAGGGGCCCAAAACTGAATGCAGAATTTGAGTTGTGGCCTCAGCAGCACCCAGCACAGGGGCACTGTCACTGTCCTGGTCCTGCTGGCCTTGCTATGGCTGGTACAGGCCAGGTGCCCTTGTCCTCTTGCTCATCTGGCTCATTTTCAGTCACTGTCAACCAAACAGCACCTCTTTTCTGCCCAGCCACTTCCCAGCTGCCCTGACTCCAGCCTGCAGCAGGACTCAACACCTGACATTGTGGAACCTCACACAATGGGGCACATTGATCCAACTTGTCCAGATCCCTCTGTAGAGCCTTCCTGCCTCCCAGCTGAACATGACCTGCATTTCCTAAACCCAGGCTGGCTGGGCCTGGTTCCCTGCTTGTCCTCTACGTGCTACATGATGGCATTCAGGATGATCTGCTTCATGACCTTCCCTAGCACCAAGGTCAGGCTGACAGCCCTGTAGCTCCCTGGATCATCCTTCTGACCCTTGTTCATGGAGTCACATTTGCTGATTTCCAGTCAACTGGGACCACCCAGGACTGCAGGTAAATGATGAAAAATACCTTGGTGAGCACTTCTTCCAACTCCTTCAGTACCCTTGAGTGGATCCTAGTCACCAGTTAGGTTCCCTAAATACAAGTAACTTTCTACAGCTTTCCTCCGATCTGGAAGCTTTTGGGTAAGGATTCTCAGGGAACTGTAAGCACATTAACACATCACCATCACTGTAAGAAATAAACACAATACTCCTCCAGCATCAGTTGTGACAAGATTTCCAGAACTCCACAGAAGTAGAAGTAACATATAGCAGAAGCCAAAATTATCTGTTCTTTCAGCGAAATAAAGACGCTTCTTGGGATTCCCACAGGAGCAACACACTGACTCACCGACTTCACACAGGCAGCTTCATCTACAGGCCCTCCTATTTGCTCCTTGATGAACAACATATCTTCTTCCAGGACAAGACCATTGGACTTCATGACTCCTTCTAGTTTATTGGAAGTGATCAAGTGCTCAAACATTTGAACAGAAGAAGTTTCATGCTGTGAAAAAACCCCATCCAAATATTTTATTACATAGTTTAAGCATCTTTCCTGCAGAGTAACAGCTTTACTCCAAGCCATCAGCACTGCCTAGCAGGGCACACGGGCAGGCTGGTGTGAAGTACAGCAGCTGGGTGCTTTCCTAGTAATTTTCAATTAAACAGAAGAGGAAATCACCTGGTCTACAGAGTCCAGAAACACACTCTTCAGCAGAGAGCTGTTAATTCTGTGTGTTGACAAACAGCAGCAAGGCAGTTACAATGCTAAGAGACAAAATATCAATTTTGCTGTGTAAAAGATTACTCATCTGATTTTGCTAAGAAATTACAAGCAGAGAGAGGCCTGAAATGACTGTGTTGCACTTCATTCACAGCAAACAACTGTTTAAACTCTGTTCAAAATTTTGGAAAGTCTGAATTCTAAACACTACTGAATATCCTGCCTTTGGACTAAACATACTGGAAAGGAAGCTGCCAGTTGGTATTTTTGAAATGTAAAACGTATTCTGCAGAAAGCTCTCAATACGCATTTTAAGGCACAATGCTGACCAAAATGATCAGTGCAGACCTAACAAGGATATCATCACAAGATTAGAAAACAACATTCTGGTTTTCAATTAAGCCATCAGAACGATGCAATAAGGTAAGGCCAGATGACCACTACAGCCTCACAAGCAATGGAACTCTTTAAAGATTAATTATTCTGCCTCTAAAAATCTCAGGTTTGTCTTTTTACTTTAATACTGAAAAGCCTACCTTCCAATTCAAATCTGGACGAGTGAGTGGAATAAATCTTCCATCAAACATGTGTGAAAATGGCCCATGACCTTAAGCATAAAGATTACATAGGTTTAGTCTGAGACACAGTTGTCAGCAAAAATTTCTTGAACGAGCTTAGGATGTAAATTCTCCTGTATTTGAATTTTCTTGACATATCATAGAGTCTTACACTGGTTTGGGTTGGAACATTAAAGATCATCTCATTCAGACCTCTGCCATGGGCAGGGACACCTTCCACTATTCCAGGCTGCTCCAAGCCCTGTCCAACCTGGCCTTGGACACTTCCAGGAATAGGGTGGCCACACTTCTCTGGGCAACCTGTGCCAGGGCTTCCCCACTCTCACAGGGAAGAATTCCTTCCCAATATCTCATCTAACCCTGCCCTCTGCCAGTGGAAAGCCATTCCTTCTTGTCCTGTCACTCCAAGCCCTTGTCCAAAGTCCCTCTGAGCTCTGCTAGAATCCCTTTTATGTGGTCTAAGGCTGCCCTGCAGCCTTCTTCCTCCAGGCTGAGCACTAAATTACAAGCAGAGAGAGGCCTGAAATGACTGTGTTGCACTTCATTCACAGCAAACAACTGTTTAAACTCTGTTCAAAATTTTGGAAAGTCTGAATTCTAAACACTACTGAATATCCTGCCTTTGGACTAAACATACTGGAAAGGAAGCTGCCAGTTGGTATTTTTGAAATGTAAAACGTATTCTGCAGAAAGCTCTCAATACGCATTTTAAGGCACAATGCTGACCAAAATGATCAGTGCAGACCTAACAAGGATATCATCACAAGATTAGAAAACAACATTCTGGTTTTCAATTAAGCCATCAGAACGATGCAATAAGGTAAGGCCAGATGACCACTACAGCCTCACAAGCAATGGAACTCTTTAAAGATTAATTATTCTGCCTCTAAAAATCTCAGGTTTGTCTTTTTACTTTAATACTGAAAAGCCTACCTTCCAATTCAAATCTGGACGAGTGAGTGGAATAAATCTTCCATCAAACATGTGTGAAAATGGCCCATGACCTTAAGCATAAAGATTACATAGGTTTAGTCTGAGACACAGTTGTCAGCAAAAATTTCTTGAACGAGCTTAGGATGTAAATTCTCCTGTATTTGAATTTTCTTGACATATCATAGAGTCTTACACTGGTTTGGGTTGGAACATTAAAGATCATCTCATTCAGACCTCTGCCATGGGCAGGGACACCTTCCACTATTCCAGGCTGCTCCAAGCCCTGTCCAACCTGGCCTTGGACACTTCCAGGAATAGGGTGGCCACACTTCTCTGGGCAACCTGTGCCAGGGCTTCCCCACTCTCACAGGGAAGAATTCCTTCCCAATATCTCATCTAACCCTGCCCTCTGCCAGTGGAAAGCCATTCCTTCTTGTCCTGTCACTCCAAGCCCTTGTCCAAAGTCCCTCTGAGCTCTGCTAGAATCCCTTTTATGTGGTCTAAGGCTGCCCTGCAGCCTTCTTCCTCCAGGCTGAGCACTCCAGCCCTCCCAGCCTGGCTCCAGAGCAGAGGGGCTCCAGCCCTTGGTGTATCTCCAAGGCCTTGGGGCAATTATGGGGTGCATAAGTAGCACCCCATTCTTATGGCGGAGTGCAGGGCTGGTGGCAGCTCTGCAGGTGGGGTGTCACCTGAGCAAGGCAGAGGGGCAGAATCCCCCTCCACCTCTGCCCATGCTGGGGATCAGCCCAGCACATGGGGGGTTCTGGGCTGCCTCTGGTCCTGTCTTACCCACCAACACCCCCAGGGTGCTGCTCTCAATCCACTCCCTGCCCCTCCAGCCTGTCCTGGTCCCTCTGGATGCCCCATCCCTTCCCTCCAGCATGTGACCCCATCACACAACTCGGTGCTGTTCACAAACTGCCCAAGGGTGCATTGATCCCACTGTCCCCATCACTGACAGATATCCAACAGGGCCAGCCCCCACACAGGGCTCCACCTGGACATCGAGCCTGAAACACCGCTCCGAGTGCAACCATCCAGGTAATTCCTTCCCCATCATCTGTGAGGAAGACTCAGGTGTAACGAGTACACCTTCCTAAGATACTTCAAGTACTACTGCACTTAACAGCCAGTTCCAGCACCTACACCACAGACAAGTAGTGCAGCAACACCGAGAATATTAAATTACTCTGTGTCAGCTCTGACGAAAAGACGTAGTTATGAAATAAATCTTACAATTTTGGAGAGGAACACTAATTTTCGTTCTGAAATGTTTAAAGAGCCCTGGAGAAATCACAGAAGGAAGTGGACACTTCAGCCACTGAGGGCAGAACTCTAAGCACCACTTGGGCACAGGACAAAACACTAGCTAAGAGTGGCTACAGATTCAGGTGGAACTGTCTCCACAGATGTACTCCAGACCAAACAGAACAGATAAAACCGTTCTGGAATATGGCCATGCACTGAGCAACCCAAAACAGCTCACATATTCTGACCTCACAGCCAGCCTTTCATCCTGGTTAGCTTTCCAAGAGCAACAACCCATCTCAGTTGTTCCTTACCCAAATCATGACAAAGGCCAGCAATTTCTACACAAAGGATGTCTCGCTGGGTTATACCCAGTTCTGGTTGTCTCTCCTTCAGTGTACGAACCAGACATCCTGCAAGGTAGCCAACCCTGTTGCAGGAGGAAAAGAAAGAAATACAGCATTGGTTTAGGATGAACAGAAAAAGAGAAGCTCCCCTACTCTGTTTTGCTCCATTAAGTCACAGTCCTTATCTGAGGGGCAGCATGCAAAGAATACCCAAACCCTGATGTGGGAGAGAATCACAAACTGCTTCCTGTAGTAGAGTTTTAGTCCTCTGAAAGCAAAAAAGCATGGGATACCATGCCCAAATGGATACCATGCCCAAAACAGAGAGACTCTACAGCACTCTGCAGTATTTCATAACACACAACCCCGCAGAAGCTGTGTAAAGGAACAGCAGTGCACTACTGACAGTGAGAATCTTAAAGTGCCTCAGCTTACACTGAATCCAGTCAGGGCAAACTGCAAAGGTGACAACAGTCACCAAAGCATATGGTACAAACTGCTGCTTTATTAATAGCTCACGACAATTATTTCTCTTCTTCTCATTCATTTTAGATTTGAGATTTGATTTAATCGAACGGGCACAAAACCAGCAGGAGAAAATATATAGCATATAGTCCCATAAACTGTTTGTTACAACCTCTGCACAAACCTCTTTTTCTACTTGCCTCAACAGTTCCCCTTTCAGAACAGCTTAAAGCAAGACAAGGCTTTCTATGACGAGGTAATATGTTTCATTAGTCCAAATTTCATTGTTTGATGGCTTTTTACTAGACCAATAAGCACACAAAGCTCAGTTCTTCTATTTGTAACACTGCAGAAATCTTTGAGATTATATACAAGTGGAGAACAAATGTCCTAAATTTAACTCGATAGATCAATGTAAGTGTTCAAAAGAAAAATTGCTGACAGAACTGAAGTTTTCAGACTTCTGTTGTGAAAACTTTGTTTATATTCAACCACATTTCTGTCTTTTTGGTTTACCCGATACAATCAATCCAGGCTGCCTCATTCATCTCACCCTTTTGCCAAGAGCCATTTGAATCTCATCATAAGTAAGATTTACTCCACAATATTTCAGCCCCAGCAAAAGCAACTTTAGGCTGACCAGATCACCTGAATAAAAACTGCTTACAAGCTTAATTTCAGTGCCCCTTGAGATATACCCTTAAAACAAGCTCAAATTTGTCATTCATCAGCTTTCCTGAGGAGTGTGAATGACCTAGAAACACTCTACGAATCCTTGAGTCCATCACATTTCTGCTTAATGGAATGACAGCCTGACAACCTGCCATGGATTGCATGAAGCACATTCACCTACAAAGGCAAACGTTACAGATCAAATTAATTTTGGCTGTGCTGGATGATGTGTGGGGATTACAGCTGTCTGGCAGATCATAAGAGTAGCCCTGGTACACTTACTAAGTTTATTCTTCAAAACTGTATTTTGACTGGGGAACATAAAGCATGTACAGTTTTCAGCTAACATTATTCTTAGAATAATAAAGGGTGGGGAAGGAAATCTAACATTGATCCATCTTGGTCTGTTTATCTGTCTTTACTAAAAGAAATTCAAGGGAACAGCCCACAGTCATATGGGATATCCAGGAACATCTGAGACCAGAAACGCCCTCCCAGCAGTTTTCACCAATGCTCAGACATCAGTGCCCCCTGGCTGGCACTCCACAGCAGCAGAACCAAACTTAGGGATATCTAGATGCCAGAGATCCATCAGAACCACCAGCTTACCCCAGGGAGTGTTCAAAGCGGTTGTGAGAGGCTCCCGGAAAAACAAAGTACGTGCCACCCAGCTGCTTGATATACCGCAGGCGCTGGAACTGAGGGGTGTCGATGATACGAACAAGCAGGGGATGCAACTCAATGTGCCCGTGAATAGGATCATTAAAAACCTACAGAAGCAAGAAAAAGAAAAATTAAAATTTGACTTCCAAAAGAAACAGGTACCAAGGTATTTGGTGGGTCAGGTATTTGGTGGGAGAGACTGTTCATCTTCTGTAAAACAGACATATCCTGCCAACCCTATATCAAGATCTATCACAGAATCACAGCATGGTTGAGGTTGGAAGGGACCTTAAAGATCACCTTATTCCAACATACTACCAGGGGCAGGGACAGCTTTCACTAGATTGCTCCAAGCCCTGTCCAATCTGACCCTGAACACTTCCAGGCACGGGGCACCCTCAACCTCTCTGTACAACCAAATTTATCTTGGAGAACTACTAAAACTTGACACCGAAAAGATAAAACTGCCTATTTCACACAGCAAGGGAAGTCAAAATGCCTAAAAATGTTATCTCCAACTGCGCATTTCCAAAACTTAACATGTGTGAAAACTGCTGTCTTTATTAATCTCCTGTTCCAATTAAAGGAGCATACTGCAATGCACGTCTGAGATATCCAATAAAAGTGTTTGGCCTGATACTGTTCATGCTTTCAAAATCAAATGCAATATTGCTGGGTGGAAATTATGATTGTTACTTTTTTCTTAAAACAAAATATAAACCCCCAAGATGACCAAAATATGAAATAATCACTTCCTGATAAGCACATATTTTTAGAGACATCTCAGTAACTACAGGGACTCAGGTAGAAAAGGTAAACATTTAATCTTTGATCTTTGCTGTTAAACTGCAGGTAAAACCATTCCATCACACACATATCTTGGTAAAATACTGAGGCAAATAAGGTTTTCCTGTGCTCTCTGCCCTTGGTCACTGAGCTGGGAGGGCTCTAGCAGATATGCAGACTACTACAGAACGTGCACAGCCCTGGCCCCGGTTAAAGCAACACACACCACTGGGAGAAACAGCTGGACACAGGAAACAGTGAAAGCAAGGAGGAGTCTGTTAACTCAGGCCTGGGGAAAAACTAATAAAATAAACCAAGGGGAGGCTCTACACAGAGGGATGTGAAAGGGAGCTTCTCCAACACATGTCAAACAGCTCTTCTGCTCATTTAATCCCTTACAGCCTGCAGGTGCCCACTAAAAGCTTCCACATGAGGATTCCAGAATTTCTTCTTGTTAATGTGGTTTTTCACACACCACCACTACCAAGGGCCCAGAGTTTGCTGGGCAAAGGAAAGGCAGCAGCTGGCAGCACCAAGCCAAGAGTGGGGAGGCAGAGAGGGGGAGCAGAGCCCCATGCAGGGCTTGGGGCAGGACCTGGCCATGAGTCCCCATAGCATGGGTTACCTTCATCACCTCCATGTGCTGCTGCTGCATCTGTGTCAGGCACGCCAGCACTTCCAGTCGCTCAGCTGGGCAGCTAGGAAGGAAAAAGACACTGAGAGCAAAGTCTGCAATGCATGTCCCTTTACAATTTGCAGTACATATGCAATTACTTATGGAAGTTCACATTACTTTGATGTTCCTTGATGGAAGAAGACTGCAACTGCAACTTTTTCAGAAAAATACTGAAAGCATTTATCCTTCTAAAATCAAGTTTAGAAGGAAGGAAGCAAACAGCTACAGAACAAGTCTGTAGAGCTGTGTAAGAGCTTCTCCCACTTACACAGAACTGAGAAATAAAACCACCAAGAAACTGATAAAAAAAACTGTGTAAGCCACACCTGGAGTCCTTTAAACTTATTCAGATGTTGCAGGCTGCTTTCCCATAATTGACATTTTTTAAGGATGCAAAACTTCCTTAAACTAAAATGTCAGAGTTCCAACAAGTTATTTTTATAAAAATTTCTTGTAATTAGTCAACTGTCTATTAAAAGTTTAATGCTGTCAAATTAACTTGAATTTTACATAAATTAATTTCAACTCCAGCAGCAAAACCACTGCAGTTTAAAACATGTTCTAGTTTTGTTGAGACTGATTCTTCTATTTTGCAAAGACATTTTGCTGTCATTTTTAATAAATTATTAAAGGTCCCCTTCACAACACACACCCAAACTTCCAGTGCAGGTATGCTGCTGTAGCCACAGCAGTCTAAGAACACAGGTGGGACAAGTCTGGAGAGAGAGAGATAATATGCCCTATCACACCTACTTTTACTAACTCTGCAAGCCTTGCCCTTGAGCTAAATGGCTTCAGTCTCACTATGATACCATGAAAAAGTACTTTTTCTCCAAAGAAAAGATTGGTTTGATATCAGCTTTTCAACATAAAATTTAACAGAAAATAAGACTATAAAGTGTCAACTATTAGGAAAAAGTACTGCTTGATGCACTACGTATTCTCATCCAAATCATTTAATAATTCACAATCCCTAAAATATTAAAGGCATGTGATGTTTGAGCTGCTGGTGAGTACTGCTCCTCTCAACCACTTTGGTATTGCTTTCCCTGACAGGGAGCTCTTGGGCTGTGGCTGCTGCTCAGACTGCAACAAGGCAGTGCTGGAGCACCTCTCCTAAGCAGACAGGCTGAGAGAGCTGGGGCTGTTCAGCATGTGTTCCATGATACAAGTCTGAGGGCAAAGAAACCAACATTGCAACCAGCAGCTATTAAACTAACATAATGAATGCTTTTAACAACTTATTTTTCACACAGAATCACAGAATTAACCAGGTTGGAAAAGACCTTTGATATCATCAAATCCAACCTATGACCTAACATCACCTTATCAACCAAACCATGGCACTAACTGACACACCCAGTCTTTTTTTAAATATCTCCATGGATCATGACTCCTCCACCTCCCTCCTGGGCAGCCCATCCCAATGCCCAATCACCCCTTCTGTTAAGGATTTTTTCCTAATCTCTAGCTAAAACTCACACTGGTGCAGCTTAAGATTGTGTCCTCTTGTCCTGCCTGGGAGAAGGTACCTCCTCTTAGGGAGCTGTAGACAGTAGTAAGGTCTCCCCTGAGCCTCTTCTTCTCCAGGCTAAACAACCCCAGCTCCCTCAGCCACTCCTAATAAGGCTTGAGTTCCAGACCCTTCACCAGCCTTGTTGCCCTTCTCTGGACATGCTCCAGCATCTCAACATCCCTCCTAAATCAGGGGGCCCAGAACTGGACACAACACTCAAGGTGTGGCCCAACCAGCACAGAGGAAGAATCACTTCCTTAGTTCTGCTGGCCACACTATTTGTATTTTAATATGCTCTGTTCAGATCTGTCATCTGGCAACTCTTTGTGCCCCACACTGAGCTCCAAGAAGGATTGTAGTGGATTAACCCCAGACAGGAACTCAGTCCCACACAGCCACTCGCTACTCTGGTGGGATGGGGAGGAGAATTGGGGAAAGGTTAGATCCTGCATGCTGGATACTGGTGTGACCAATTGCCTGGATGCCCCACCTTCCCTGCTCTTCATCCTCCTTCAGATAGAAGACAGCTGCAGGGCATTTTTCACCTGAAGTCTACATGGCCAGACCCCCCCAAGCAAGACAAATCCTGCTAACATAAGAAATTGTAGTTTTCCAGGGATCTGCAGGCAGATTTCCCCCAACAGTCAAATCAGCATTACTGATGGCTGCTTGGAAATGGTGACAACTGGCACTTCCTCATCCACTCCCCTCCCTGCTTTGTCCGCACCCTCCTTCATGCCACAGGTCACAAGGATGAGAATATCCCTTTCCTGTGCCTGAAGAGGTCAGCCAGACAGCCCCACTCATCATTTGTGTTCAGCACACAGCACACCACACAAAACATCCACTGCCAGCAACATGAGAACACCTGGGAAACTCAGAGAGCTGCCTCCAGGCACCAGTGGCCCAAGGTCTCCCCTCTGAACATCTAGGAACCTAGGGAACTAAAGACATGCATTCATTAGTGGCCTGTCACAGAGAAATGATCAAACTTACTGCAGGACAGTGTGCAGTGGGCAGCAAAAGAATTGTTTAGAGATGTTTACAAAAAATAGAATGCTTGAGCAATTTCTCCTCCAACTCTCAACAGTTTCAGCTTAAGAGAAACAAGATGTCAGATCTCATAGAAGGAAACTTATACAAAGTTAATATCTTATACAAAGAAAACCCACAAGCCACCTGTAAACCCATCCCCATTTGCTCTCCACATCACCTGGGAGCTCTCTACAGCCCTGTGCCCCCATCACCTGTATCCCATGCTGAGGGACTCCTGGCTACCCCATCCTGCTGCCCATGTTCAGCACTGACAGACAGTCTCTGACTCCCCAGACTGCCTGCACATGTCCAATGTGTCCTGGACACCCGATGCTCCTTCCCTGCTAGAAGCAACCAGCCTCCTGGCAAATCCTAAATAAAACCAGACACCAGCTTGTCATTTCAGTCAGGCAATTACCTGGTATTTCAGCAATAAACAAAGCCTTCAGCTGCCTTCACGACATCACAGCATTTCTATCTGCACACTTCAAACCGCAGCAGTTAAACCCCTCTTCCACAAAAAGAGAAATCAAAAATACCTTAATGACTCCAGCACGTCTTACCTTGTCCAAAGCACAGCACTTCTGCCTGGTCCCGCTGCATCACACAGCTTTTTATTGTCTTCTAATACTCATGCCCACGCACCCGCCCTTTCCCACTCCCACTTTGTACACAGATCTCTCAAAAAAAAAGCAGAAGAGCCCTTCACCCTCAGCACAGCGTGAGCTCAGACGAGCCTTCAGCCAAGGAGCCAGCACCAAATTGCTCTAACCCTCAGCAGAAAGCACAGCTCTGCACTTGTGTGCACCTGCCAGATTACACACCCCAGCCTACCTCAGGGCCACCAGCCACAACACCAGCAAACAGCTGGAGCCAGCACGTGGGTTTTGAGACAAATTGGAAGGAAACAGTATAAACAAGGTTAACAAAGGAGTAAAGAAAAGACATTACAAGATTAAAAACCACCAGGAAGTATGTGGTGGAGCAAGCAGGCTCACATCTCACCAGAGGGGAGCAAAAGAGGATCCCCAGTGGGGCAGAGAAGGGGCAAAGGGGCCTTTCCAACACACAGAATAGCAGGACAGATTCATACTCTCTGTTGTTCCAGAAAAGCAAGAAAATATATTCACCACCAGAAAGATAAAAGGGTTTTGGGCCCAGTCATCCCTCACTGCTGGGAACAATCCTTTACACACCTGAACAGCATCCAGTGTCCCTGTGTTTGTGGCAGGTGACCACTACCAGCCAGACTGCCTGCTCTGGACACTCAGGGCACCAAGGACTCGGCCATTCACCCGCAGGCCCCTATTCTGCCAGAACACACTATAACACTTCTTTTTCCACAGCAGTCCATGCTCCTGTCGGCACAACAGAGAGCCAAGTGCCGGCAGCTGCTGCACGGCTGCCCTTGGATTTCTCCAAGGGTGACAGTCAGCCTCTCCCGAGCAGCATCTCCTGCTCTGTCAAACATCGGGGCCGCTGTCCTTCCTGGAGGTGGAGCAGCAGCAACTTCAGGCACAAAAGTAAGTTCCTATCAGAACCCGTGGAGCTCACTCTTGTGTTCCCAGCATCTCCCAGCTCACTCTTGTGTTCCAAAGCTCACAGCGCTACCCAGGGGATTTTCACTAAACCTTTCTAAAGGATCGAGGTTTTTTGCTTGTCATGGTTATTTGAGCAGCAAGCGTCCGCGCCATGGTTGTGCTGGGATCAGCAGGAAACGGGAACTGCTCCGAGGTCCGGGATCAGCCCCGTGGAGCCCGTTCCCTGGCGCTCCCCCCGCACAGCTCCGCTCGAGGCGTTTGGGGCGGCCGCGGCCTAGAGCGGCGCCGAGCCGGGCCGCGCGTGCAGCCGCAGCTCCCGGGCCTGGGCCCCTTTCCCCGCGGGCGGCGCTCACCAGACGCGGACGAGCTCGGGGGCGCAGGCCGGCAGGTCCAGCAGCATCCTCCCGGTGACTCCGCTCTCTGCGGGAGCAAGAGAAGCGTCAGCACCAGCGCCCGGGCACACGACCACGGCCCCGGCTCCGGCTCCGGCCCCGGCCCGCCGTACCTCGGAAGCGGCGCAGCAGGCTGGGATCGCCCACGCCGCAGCGGGCGAGGTGCTGGCAGAGCCGCTCCGTGTCCCACAGCCGCGGGTCGCTGCGGTCGATGCCGGGGCCGCGGGGCCCCTCGCACCGCGCGCGCTTGGCGGGAGCGCCCGCCGGGCTCCCCATCCCGCACCGCCACCGCGCAGGCGCCACCCGCCCGGGGGTCCGGCGCGCAATGACGTCGCGGCCCCTCAGCCGCGCCTGGTCATGGCGGCCGGCCCGGCCGGGGGCTCTGAGGGGCCGCACCCCACAGGGCGGCAGGGTCCCCTCTGGGGCCCGCCGGTGCGTGTGCGCCGCGGCGACCCTGCTCTGGGGGATTCACGTGGACTACCTGGAACCCTGCACTGGCACTGCCCGGTCATCATCCCAAATCCCAGGCATCATCGCAAACACCAGTGGTGCTCGCTGCCACGTGGTGCTCCCAAAAGAAGTGATGCTTCAGCGCCGCTGCCTTCATACAACACTGCTGAATCCGAACTCGTTCAAGGTCTGATTCCCAAGACATCATGGGCCGTGGAAACAGCCCCACCGCAGCTGCCAGGTGCCCCGTTGCTCCCAGCCGCGGTAATGGACACCACAGCCATCCCAGGCAGAGACACATGGGCTGGTTTTACATATTCTGTTCTCATGTAATTTTCCAATATCCATGAAAACAGCTCAGCTCCCCAAGGCCTCTGAGTGCCACGAAGGCCGCAGAAGGGGCCTAAAACTTTGGCTCCCCATTACAGACCCCACAGAGCAAGGCTGGCAGAATATCTGCTGCCTTGATCCAGCCCGCAGCCTTGTCAGAGCTGTCTGCCACACGTGCAGCTGCACATGGTGCCCGATGGACGAGATACTCTCACCAGCACAGCTTCTGGGGGAGCCCACTCACTGCTCCCAGCAGCCCCAGGGACTAAGGGTGTGCCAGGCAGTCCTCCTTTGGAAAAGCCTGTCGCTCCATGCCGGGATTCTGAGGTTGAGATGACCCCGAGGTAGTAGAAAGTCTTTTTTCTCCCAGCCCCACGACAGAAGAAGAAGTCGTCGAGATTCGTCGGTTCTGCTTTTCAAGGTTGTTTGTTTTCCCTTATCTATAACATTCTTTCTCTGACCTGCTGAGGTCTGTCTGGCAGATCTGTTCATGGCACACTGACTGCCCTTGGGGCGGTGTTAACTTTTTATACTAAAAACTACGTGTACTTTATTTACAATAATTTTCCAATACCTATTGCCTATGTTAGACAGTCTGTCTCTACTCTAAACCAATCAAGAAGTGTCACCATCACAGCAGAAGATGGAGGGGAAGAAGAAGAAGAAGAAGAAGAAGAAGGACAGGACACGCCCAGATTCCTCCATCTTGTCTCTTGAACCCCCATTCTAAAACCCCCAAAATTCTGCTTTTTCACCCTGTGACAAATTAACTATCATTCTACTCAAACTCTTGTGGCTTGTAAATCTTCAAAAAGTTGGTAGTTTTTTCCATGGGCTAAAATCGAAGGCACAGATGTCTTTGACTCTGTGCCAAGGTCTCTGATCCCCTTGCCAGGGTCTCGAGTCCTGCAGGGCATTCAGAGGAATGTCCTGGGTTCCAACAGCTCCACTGCCATCACCAGCACCGGCGGGGGCATCCCAGACCCCTGGACACCTTCAGGCTCCCTGTGAGGCAGCAGTTCTGTGATGCCTGGCACGTGCTGTGCTCGCTGCATGGGCTCCCGTGGGGAAGGTTACGCATTATCCCTGAGCAGTATGCATACGTGAGCTGGGTGTGCCTGGCCACGTTTGGGAACAAGGAGGGCAGTGGTGGCCTCTGTACATTGACACCAGAAGCTGTTCCTATGTTGGGCAGAGCTGGCTCAAGAGGCCTCCAAGACAAATCCACTGTGGCACAGCTGTAGCTGGGAGGGAGGAGCTGCAAGATGTGAGAGCCACAGCCCTGCAAGCGCCAAGGCCAGGGAAGGAGGGGGAGGAGGTGCTCTGGGCATGGGAGCTGACATTCCCCTGCAGCCCGTGGTGCAGGCTTGATGAGGCAGATCCAGCCTGCAGCCCATGGAGAGCCCCACGCTGGAGCAATTGGATATGCCCTGGGGGAAGCTGCAGCCCATGGAGAGCCCACACAGGAGCAGGATCCCAGCAGGAACTTCAGCTGTGGGGAGAGCCTGTGCTGCAGCAGGGACAGGGTGTTACAGACTGACCCCATCCTCCTTCCCCATGCCCCTGCAACACTTGCAGAGAGAGGAGATAGGGTAGTCAAGCATGAACTTGAGCTTAGGCAAAAGGGCTGAGTGGGGAGAAGGTGGTTTTAGTTTTGGTTTGTGTCTCATTATCCTACTCTATTTTTAACTGGAAATCAATTTATCTTCCTCAGTTCCTGTCTTTTGCCCATGATGGTGGCTGGTGAGTGAGCTCCCTGTCTCTATCTCAAAGCTGTTTTGTGGTATTTTCTCCCCACTCTCCTGCGGAGGGAAGGTGAGAGCGTGGCTGAGTGACCTGGCAGCCAGCCACAAGCCAATGCAATGCATATCCGGAGTTGCTGCGTCCTCCTCCCCACTTCCTGCTCCCTTTCAGATGTGTAGAGGGGAGAAAAAAATAACTGCAAAAACCTCCCATCATCTTAGTAATAAAAAGTGCTTTATTTTTTTCTTGAGGTCTCAGTTTCTGAGGGGCAAAGCTCGCATGTTCTGCTCTCATGCTACAGTAATTTCCTCTTGTAAACAAGCATCCTGCTTTCTCACTTCTTGGCTTTGGTTAGCAAAGTACATGTAATGTTTCCTGTCTGATTTTCATTTGGCTGAGAGTCTTTTTCCCCTCATGGCTGATCCATCAGCACTGAAATGAAACTGGCTGAGTCCCACCCTTCTAGAGGAAACTTTATTCTTGGAAGCAATATGAGGAGGCAAAATCAGGCCAGACCCATTAAGGAATGCAACCATACAAAATTATGTCCCACCTTCTCCATTTCCTCTGTCCTACACAAGTGACACACAAATGTCACTGGTGCTTGGCCTTTTAAGGAATAATTGATCACCAGTCCATTCTTTACTTCTAAGCAGAGTCAAAAACTGCCCTATATATAGCTTTACCTAAAGAAGCTTTTTGCGGAGGGGAACGAGTTGAAGGACACACATCCTGTCCACAGGCCCAATACATCTGGAGAGCTTACTAAAAAAAAGAAAAAACATTAAGAGGGAGCTCACTGCATTTGTGGCCTAATAAACAGCAAGGGAGGATTATCCTGAAATAACAGGACATCTGTCTTGGATCAAAAAACTGCTGATTCTGCAACATGAGATGAACACATGACACAGCAAGGGGACAGGGATTACTAGTTTCACTCCTGGGTAGCAGGAAGAAAAAGAAAAAAAATACTGCACTAGGGTGTTGTTCTGAATAGCACAAATTCCTTCATAATGAAACAAAACACATGAAAAAGGGGAAAGGAGGAAAAAGTTATTTTTGAACTTGTTTGTGTGCAATAGAGGTGACCTGAGTGCCTCCCCATCCCCGCCTGCTGCTGCACACCCAGGAAACCCGGTCATCTCTGCTCGAGCAACGAGGCACGTAAATCCAAAATTATGCCCAGAAGCCCCCTGTAATGGCAAACAAAACTCAAAGCACATGGTCAAATTCAAGCTGAAAAGGAATTATTCCTGTGTAAGAGCTCTTTATTTTTTCACTTTACATGTTTCCTGTAGCACTTATCCTGGTGTTCATGGCTGAGATTGGAGGGACTTAAAACCTTATCTCGTTCCACCTGCCCCTGCCATGAGCAGGTGTAGAAGGATTCTTGGCTGAAAAAGGCCATGATATTCTCCTGTGGGAATTGGACAGCCCTGGCCTGCAGATTACAGAGTTACTCTGGAGACCATGTACTGGCCTCGAATAGATACAACAAGGAAGAATGAGCATTGTGCCAAGATGAAGCCAAGTGCCAAGCACATCGTGGGAACTGCTAATTTGGCACACCTTAGCTAAAGATGCTTATAGTGTGACAACCAATCAGTAATTAACGTGTATGTGTGAATATAGCTACTTACCCAATGAGCATTAAGCACTAGTGGCATGAGACAGTGTGTAGGGAAGGATAAATATGCCCAAGTTGCTGAACAAAGTGGGACGACATGTAGCCACAGTGGTTGTGAGTGTCATTACTCGGCCGACTCTCCGTGGGACCCTTCTCTGGCAGGAGAGCTCTCCTCTAGACCAGGTTGCTCAAAGTCCCTTCCAGCCTGGTCTCAAACACTTCCAGGGTTGGGGCATCCACCACTGGATTGACTCCCTGTTGGTAGACTCTGTGAAGCAGAGCTACAAACTTGCCACCAAGGAACTGAAAAGTTCACAGCAAAGCCACCTGTGACCTTGCACCAGTTTGGTCCACAGGCTCAGCTGCTTGAGCCCCATATTTACACATTAACTAGCCGAGATGTGTGTGACTAAACCCTTGCAGAGCTGTTTTTCTGTGGCGGGGAACCATGAGGGATGACATGTAAGTGAAGATAGAGAAGGTGCTTGCAGTAAAGCCCAAGGCAGAATTGGGTCACAGGAGCACGTGCAGGGGAAAGTGGGCTCCCTTAAACCAAATGTTCCACATTGCTCCGGTGTACAAACCTTCAGGAAGAGGCAGCACGTGAGTGCTGAGCCCACCAGCTCTATCCAGCCTTGTGGCTCAGACGGAGCCAGGGCAGCATGAGCCCAGGCTGCAGGCAGGCTGGGAACCACAAGCGTGACCTGCCTCTGATGCACCTTCTTCCAGTGCTCTTCTGGTCACTCGAAGTTTAAAAGTGTTAGGAATTTGGCATTGTGTTCATCTGACACCAGTTTTTTAAGAACTGCTACTTGGGAGATGAGTTATGTGCTTATTGCAAACTTTGGTTACTGTAACCAAAGCAATCAAACTGAGTAATCTGTTTACTTGGCGTCTTTTGGCCTTAAGACACATTCCGCTTCTTTCATCTGAGATCCCAGCACTGCTTACACATTTACAGTTTCTTCATGGTTTTGTATTGTGTCCCCAGTTTCAATTCCTACCACTCCTCAGACATCAACAAAAGCCCCTCATGAGTCACAAAACAGCAACACAAGAAGGGTAATTCCTAACGGGAAAATAAAGAGAAAATCAGTTTCGATTCCCTGAGTTAATTGCAGTCTAACCACAG